ATGATGTAGGTGCTATTATCATCTTGGTTCTGCATATGAGGCTACCAAGGGTAAAAGTGAAGTGATTTTCTCAGAGTTCCACAATGTTTGAGGAATTGTGTCTAAGTTATTCTCTTTCTTAGTCCATCTCTTTTTCCACTGTCATATTTCTGGAGTAAATTGTCAGATTTCCAGTTTTGATTCATGAGTCCTACTTTTTAAAAGCATCTGCAGAAATCTTAGGCACAGATGATATACTACACAGAGAGGGAGTGTGTCTTTATTATACATGCTCCAGTGCATCTCTGATTTCATCAATATGAAACTCACCAATAATGCAGATTGTTGTAAGGGCTTGATGTAATCAGCACAATATCATCTGCAAGCCAGAACACCTGGACAATCTCACCATCCACAGAGAATCCCTTGGCTGGGCCTCATCACCTCCACTACAGTGCAGAGCAATTTTGGCAAGCCTACATCTTAGGTCTCTCATGCCTTGTCTTGATGTTTATGACCAGAAGGTTATTGAACAGGGGTGTTTCTTTTTGATCTTTCAAGGAATTGTGAATGATGTAGACATATCCATGGGAAAATCTTTTTGTAAAAGAGCCTTCCAAAATAAATGATGTTATTGATGGGTTTTTTGTTTTTTTTTTTAAATCAGCATATGACCACTGTGATTATTCACAGTCTTATATTCTCTTCATTACTTACTTCTTGGTAAAGTTGTGAATCTTCTATTATCTACTGCTACCCTCATGTAAAGAGTCTCAGGAATATTTTGTATAAATGGAGAGAGCGATACAGATCAGTAGTCATTGTTATTCTCTTGATTATCTTTTTTCAGTATTATTAAAGTCAAATTTTTTGCCTTGGGCATCTTTGACTCCTTTAGAAACTTTTTATTTAAGTCCATCAAGGCCCGCATAATTGGGTTGCCTTCAGCATAGATTTCTGTTTTTCTTGTTATTTTTCCTTGTGTTTTCTGTCTTGTCCTTCTTTAGATGTTCTTGGATTAACTGTTTATTTGACTATTATGTCAAGTTTTCTTTAAAGTGGTTTTACTCTTAACTGTTTCTGTCTGCTTTAGTAGATGGCACTACCCATAAATATCCGTTATTCTTCTTAGTAAGATCGTGCAAAATAGTTTGTCCTAACCTGATTGTTTCTTTTAGCAGCTATCTCCCTCCATCCGGCATAAAGATATGTGTGTGATTGTAGGTACTCTTTTTTTTTTGTTTTGTTTTTTTCTTTTTAGGCAATTGGGGTTGTGACTTGCCCAGGGTCACACAGCTAGTGCATGTCAAGTGTTTGGTCTGAGGTCAGATATGAACTCCAGTCCTCCTGACTTCAGGGCCAGTGCTCTATCCACTGTGCCACCTAGCTGCTTGATTGTAGGCACTCCTTAGGGCTCTTTTGGTCTCCTTATTGCAGCAATTAATTTATTTTGGTTAACCCTCTGAATGCAATTGTTACAATTGCAAATGTGTGTCTGTATATATACATATTGATCTACCCACTGGTATATTACATGCTATTGGACATACGTGTCTGTAGGTATCTATAAATTTAAATATAATGTGTTTCAGTTTGTGTTATTGGAACTCCTGAATCAAAGGGACTGTAGATCCATTTGATTATTTGAGTACATGTAGATACAGTTATGGGCAGGCAGTATGCCATGATAGATTTGGAGTGAGGAAAACCTGGGTTTGCATCCCATTTCTGAAACTTATTGGTTTTGTGAATCTGGATAAGGCATACGTAGATGAGTAATGACACTGTTAGAGTTCCCATACCAAAATGTCCATACTCTCGTACACATGGGTTAAAGGATTCTTGGCATATATTCATTACAATTGTTTCATAGTGTCTCAGATTGAAAGGGATTTCAGAGGTACCTAGTCTAGAGCAATTTGCATCACTTCCTCATATGATAATTTGTTTCATTTTGGGATAACTATTCCTTATGCTGAGCCAAAATCTACCTTAATTTTCCTTCATTTGCACTAATTCTGCTTCCTCATGAGGTAAAGAATGTCTGCCTTCTCTTAGAAGACTACTTTATCTTAAAAAAAAAAGGAATTACATGTAAAAACAAATTTTTAACATTATTTTTTAAAAATTGTGTCCCAAATTATCTCTCCTTCCCTTCTCTCCCCACCCCTTGAGAAGATAAGCTTGATATAGATTATAAATATGCAGTCATGCAAAGCATATTTATGTATTAGCCATATTGTGAAAGAAAACACAGAAAAGGAAAAAGAAGTAGTAAAAAAGTGTCCTTTGGTCTGCAGACTCCATCAGAAGACAGCCTTTTAAAACAGTTTTCCTTTAAACTTCCCCATTTCCCTCAAATGTTCTTCAAATGAACTGGTTTCTATATCATTCTGGTTGCCTTTCTATTGAATCTTTCTAGTTTTTCATTGAAAATTTAAAAATAACAGTCTGTAACTCCAAATTCAGTAAAGATAATGGTGAAGGTCTTAGCTTCCTTGATGTGTGGACCCTCTACTTTTGTTAATGACAACCTAAAATTTCTTTGGACTGTTGATTTATATGTAGCCTTATTAGCTTAAACCTTCTGGTCTTTTTTATTTGAACAGCTGTTAAGCCAAGCTTCATCTGTTTTTATGCACTTGATTTCTTTTTAAGGTAGCTAGATGCTATAATGGATATTGAGCATTGGACCTGCAATCAGTGAGACCTACTTTCAAATCTGTGTGACCTTTGGCAATCCACTTAAATTTTTCTTGCCTCAGTTTCCTTATTTGTAAAATGGGGACAATAATAGCACTTATTTTTCTAGTTGTGAGGATAAAATGAGATGATATTTGTAAAGCATTTTGCAGACCTCAAAGTGCTATATAAATGCTGATTATTATTATTATTAACCCAGACTTCTACCCCTGTTATATTCTACCTTGTTGGTTTTAGCTTATCATTGTTTATATAATTTTGGATCTTCTTACTTATATTGGATATTGAGTTCAGCTTTGTATTAGTAACATACTATAGTAGTTCTTATCCAAACATTTGATAAACATATTGATTATGACAAGATACTTGAAACCTATGTGACCACAAGTCATCTAATGTCCCTGGGCTTCAGTTCCCTCATTTATAAAATAATGGTGTTGGACTAGATGGCTTTTGAAGTACCTTTCAACTCCCTACCTGTAATCTTTTGATCCTGTCAGTACAGAGTTTCATGGCTTGACATTAGAAACCTGCTTCTAAATTGATATCTGTTAATCAAAACTTTGGATATGATTGTTTAACCAACTTGCATTTTTTTTCCTAATTGAAGTATCCTAATTGAAGTGATATTGTTTAAGAGCATTTAAATCATTCAACAAGCATTAAGCTCCTACTAGGTGCCAGGCACTATGTTAGGCACTGAAAATACAGATACAATGAATTGTATAATTCCTGCTTAAAAGGTGTTTGCATTCTAACAGGAGAGAGAAAAAAAAATATGTAGGTATACCTTGCTAAAAGTATTGTATTTCTTTGGCATTGTCATAACCATTTCAATCAATAATCCCACCATAAAACAATAAGATTAGGTTGTCATGATTACTTTTAATAAGTCAGTGTTGGTTCTTAGTGATCTGCTTTATTTTCTAGATAAAACTACCAACTGTCGAAAAATATGTTCCAGAAACATTGTACACAGTAACAGCAACATTATGTGATGACCTACTTTGATATACTTAGCTCTTCTGAGCAGTACAATGATGATGGAAAATGCTATTCATATCCAGAGAAAGAACTGAGTCTGAATGCAGATTGAAGCATACTATTTTCTTTCTCTCTCTCTCTCTCTCTTATTTTCTTTATTGCAGTTTTTTATTATTCATTTCATCATTCAATTCATTATATCTGCATTTGGTTCTAATTCTTCTTTATAACATGACTAATGTGGAAATATTTTTAATATGATTGTACATGTATAGCCTATATCAGATTGCACCCTGTATTGGGGAGGGTGAAGGGGAAGGATGGGAAGAAAATTTAAAACTCGGAATCTTATAAAAGTGAATGCTGAAAAGTAAAAATGAATTAAAATTTAAATTGTTAAAAATATGTTCTAGAATTTCTCCAGGTGTTGACATCAAACTAAATCGTTTGTAGTTTTCAGAATGGTACTCCTTTCATGTCTGATAAATTGAGGGAACATTTGTAAATAACTAAGTATTTAAAAAACAAAAAACAAACCTTAAGCCTTAAAGCACATCTCCTGTTGCATTTTCTCAAAGATTACTGGCAGTGATTATAATATATAGTCTTGGAATGCTCTATGTAATACATGTGGTCTTGATTACTTGAGTTTATGGTTTTGTTTTTTTTTTTAAACTATTTCTCTTCCTTAGGTGGTATTTCTGTTTTTATGTGATGTTTATGTTCTTTCAGTTTTTGTCATTAAGATGATTTTCTATAATCTGAACTTCGGCTTGCTGTGGGTCCAAGCAAACACCGTGTTGTCTTTAGTTCTTTTTGCAGATCTTAGCTTATTCTGAGTTTTAGCTTTTGTTGACTTTTAGTCATTTTCTATATCTTTGATTTATGTGCTTTTTCTTTTTTTATATTTAATTTTAAAATCCAATATTAGAGAACTCTCTATGCAGTTATATTAGTTTCTTCACCAAATATTTATTAAGCACTTGTATGTGCAATACTTTGTGCTACGTTCAAGGATAAATAAGATATAATTACTCTTACTCAAAAGGGCCTGTCATTCAGGATTATTGCATTTGCTTATATCATATTTCAGTTTGCAACTTAAGTTTACTTTTGAATTAAATGTGTACACAATGTGTGTAGTTTTGTGCTATTTGATCTGAGGGATAATTGCTATATTACATTACTTCCTTCATGGAATTTGGCTTTTTTTTTTAAGTTATATAAGATTTAGTTCAAAGTAAATTTTAATATTAGGATTATTTTATAAGATTGTAAAATATTTACAGGATGAGAGCATTACAGATAATTTTAGTAATAATTTAATTTTTCAGAACTTTCGAGCATGCTGTTTTAGCTGCAGGAACAGATTTCCGATCTGACAGATTATGGGAAATGTACATAAACTGGGAAAATGAACAGGGAAATCTGAGAGAGGTTACAACTATATATGATCGTATTCTTGGTATTCCAACACAACTCTATAGTCATCATTTCCAGAGGTAAGTAGAAAAACTAAGGATTTTAAGGTGCTCTAAAAATAATTAATTGTGAGTAGTATTTTCATGTAAATGTTTGAATTAGTACCGTTATAATGGAAATATTATTGGACTCTGCTACTTAATCACTATTATAACTTTGACCAACTTTTAAAATCCTATAATTAGTGTTTTTCAAAGTGGTCAAAAGCATTTTCAAGATAGTAACTGAATAGATTGATTATAAAATCTTTTTCACTTTCTAAATAAGAAAACATGTTCTGAGTGGGGAAGAAGCTAGGGATTGAATCCAAATTTTTCTCTTTTGCTGCTGGTATACAGTGTATGTGTAGGTATGTTTTTGTATCTATACAGACTGTAACACAGTGTCCTCTCTTTTTCTCTCTTGGTCCCCTCCCCTGCCCAGGTAATATATTGTGACTGGTAAATGTGAAGAGTCAAATACATAGGAAGCACTTAATAAATACTTTTATCTATTTTTCTAAATAAACCCATAATATGAAATTTTTATTCAGAAGAATTGCAGTGTTGATGTCATCAAAACATTGTGAGGTAGTGTTTGCCAGAATAGCAAGGAAATGGGGAGCACTAGGTGGTACAGTGGATGTAGCACCTGCCCTGAAGTCAGGAGTACCTGAGTTCAAATCTGATCTCAGACCAAACACTTGACACTTACTAGATGTGTGACCCTGGGCAAGTCACTTAACCCCAATTGCCTAAAAAGAAAAAAAAAAAGACTTGGCCAGAATAGCAAGGAAGTGATAGGGATAGATGTTAGAATTATATTTATTAAAACAAGATTCTTCGTGGCAAATGTCAAACATATTAAGCTTTTTTAGATGGGAATCTGTATGTTAAATAACGTGTTCTTTACCTAAAATTTTTTCAGTAGTATTCATATTATAGTGCACATAGATATGAGCATGTATAGCATTTATATGGGCAGCTAGGTGGTGCAGTGGATAGAGCACTGGGCCTGAAGCCAGGAAGACTCATCTTCCTGAGGTTAATTCTAGTGTCAGACACTTACTAGTTAGGTGATCCTGGGTAAGTCAACTCTGCCTCAGTTTCCTCATCTGTAGAATGAACTGGAGAAGGAAAGGACAAATCACTCCAGTAACTTTGTCAAGAAAACCCCACATGGGGTCATGAAGAGTCAGACATGACTGAAAAGTGACTGAACAATAAAAAGCATTTATATACAGTACCTTGATTATTAATTTATTTTGTAGTACACATCCATTGTCTCTTTGCTTTTATCTTGATATTAACTTGAGGTGGCATGGGACAAAAACATTTATTTTAATTGTCTTTTCCCAAGGAATCTTTTCACCTCTGAATTTAGAAAATAGATGAATAGCTTTAAGAATTTTTAAAAATCTTTGACTGATTTGAACACTGCTTTCTAAAGAAAAAGCTCCTTGTGAGATAATTACCCATCTAAGTATTTTAGAAAATATACAACAAAAGTGAAATCAAATTTATATTTGATTTATAGCAGTTATACAAATAAATCTTGTTCGTAATGAGTGCAGTTTTGTGTTTGTGTTAGTTTATACCATTATGTTTTTATCTATGATACTGGCTCTTTTTTTGTAATAACTTCCTCTGATACATTCAAATTTTATCAGACTTAATATCTCTTTTTAAAAAATTCTGAAATATTAAAAAGTCAATGCATATTTTCTATAAAAAAAGTAAGGTGGGCTGAGTCTTTCAAATGTTTAATATATGTATTGTTGTATCTTCTAGATTTAAAGAACACGTACAGAATAACTTGCCTCGAGATCTTTTAACTAGTGAGCAATTCATTCAGCTACGAAGAGAACTGGCCTCTGTAAATGGACACAGTGGTGATGATGGCCCCCCTGGTGATGATTTACCCTCTGGAATTGAAGATATAACTGACCCAGCAAAGGTAATTAAAAAGTTCTTCCCTTATGATATGTAATGTATATGATAAACTGTATTTGCAGATTCTTCATTACAGATATGATGTATTGAATTATAAACTGTCCTTTTGCCCATCAGTTTGGGCAATTTTGAAAGTAAAATGATTAACAAATCTTTCATGTCTTTTGAAGGCAAATAGTGACTAATTCCTCAGCTGCAACTTTTAGGTTTAAGTGTAATTTATGTAATCTGTTTATAGGAACAAGTATTTTGTATTAATTTAGCATAGAAGGTAAATTTTACCTCTTAAAGATAATGAGCAAAAGAATTTCTTGTTAATAAAGTACAACTTAGAAACTTCAAGAAATGCAAAAATAGTGTTTTCTGAAAATCCCGTAAAGGGTGAATTTTAACACTGATAACTCTGTGGTGGAACAGATAGTTTTGTATAACTTTATAATTCTGAGATCAAAGTAAGCTGGTATAAATTGAAATCTGTTGGTGTGCCACTATAATTTCTTTAACTCTGTAAACTCTCTTTTTCTCTCCTAAGCTAATCACTGAAATAGAAAACATGAGACATAGAATCATTGAGATTCATCAAGAAATGTTTAATTATAATGAACATGAGGTTAGCAAAAGGTGGACCTTTGAAGAAGGTGTAAGTGTTCTTTTTTTTGAAATACATACGATGTGTTGAAACTTGACTTGTTGTTTTATGTTTTTATGTTTGTGCCTACTTAACTAGGAAATAAAGATGATATGTCTACTTTTCTAATTGAAATATCTGTCCTGGATGTAAATATCATTAAAATAATTTATTTGAATTCCAGTAGTTACCATGAGTCAACAAAGATTTTATTAGAGTTCTTAGAATATTGAATAATATTATGTAAATTAGTAGTCCAAGCTGAACTAGATCATAATTATTAAATGTTGCTGAAAAGCCAAGAATTCTTGAGTAATTTTTAAAAAATTAGTCATTATGCCCAGTTGGACAGCTTAATATTTAATTTTAAATTGTTACCTTAAAATGTGTTAATGCCTATAAGGCATTATACCATGTACAGGGGATATAAAAACAAAAAACCCCACAGAATGTTAGAGCAGGAAACATCTTTAGACAGTAGACCAGTATTTAACTTATTATTGAATTCACATTTGACATTTCTGTGTCAAACAGTATTAGCATTTTTGCACTGCCATGCTGGTTCTTTAATTTCAGATTAAAAGACCTTATTTCCATGTGAAACCATTGGAAAAGGCACAACTGAAAAATTGGAAAGAATATTTAGAATTTGAAATTGAAAATGGAACTCATGAACGTGTTGTTGTTCTCTTTGAAAGATGTGTCATATCTTGTGCCCTCTATGAGGACTTTTGGATTAAGGTGAGTAAATGACATATTAATGAACTTGAATAGATTACAAACATTGATCTAGTGACTAACCTTTTTTGTACCTCTGTCGAATGTTGTTCATGTAACTATATCTGTTGCATTAGGAGATGGTCTGCTTGCAACCAGATTTGACTGCTGCATATGCCAACCTCGTTGCCTCTCTTCGTCCTTCCTTACAGAAACTAGTCTAGTGGTTCAATAAAGGTGCTGAATGGGTTTAAAAATAGAATTTTATTGTTCTGAAATGTATTTAATGGCCTACTCAGTCATAAATTATTCAGTGTTTACTCTGTTTCTGTGTGTAGTATGCCAAGTACATGGAAAACCATAGTATCGAAGGAGTGAGACATGTCTACAGCAGGGCTTGTACTATACATCTTCCAAAGAAACCCATGGTTCACATGCTATGGGCTGCTTTTGAAGAACAGCAGGGTAAGAATTTGTAACATCAGTTGAAATTTTATTTGTAATTTAAAGTAAATTCAAAGACAAATCAAAAGAATGGGGAAAGCTGTAGGAGAAGGCATTTTAAAAACATTGAATATTTACTTGCTATTTCTAGGTAATATAAATGAAGCAAGAAGCATTCTAAGAACGTTTGAAGAATGTGTTTTAGGATTGGCAATGGTTCGTTTGAGAAGAGTAAGTTTAGAGCGACGGCATGGAAACATGGAAGAAGCTGAGCATTTGCTTCAGGATGCTGTTAAGAATGCCAAATCAAATAATGAATCCTCATTTTATGCTATAAAACTAGCCCGACATCTTTTCAAGATACAGAAGAACCTTCCAAAATCAAGAAAAGTGCTCTTGGAAGCCATTGAAAGAGACAAAGTATGTGTTTCTATATATTTCAGATTTTGAAATAGGCAAATAAGTAAATACTTGACCGCTGGCAACAGTGATGACAAGTTTGGTCTGTATGTAATATATTTTATTACTACGTGAAGACACCAGTCCCTCTAAGCTGATGTTGCCGTTTTTGTTTTTAACCATTAAACAAATATGAGAGAGGGAGGGCAAGGCATCATCTTAGTGCTTACAGAGTTGATGTCAAGAGTTGAGAAGGCCTGGATTTGACTTCTACCTTAGTCATCCTCACTCTGTGACCCTTGTTACTTAACCTTTCAGGGCTGTGGGCAGCTCTGTAGACTCCAAGTTGCATGCCAGATGCCAATCTCTAGATGGATAGAAGGAATTTATTCACCTGGAGTTTCCTTTACCAGTGAAATTAGAGGTCCGATTAATATTAAAATACACGTACATACGTACATATATACATACGTATATATACACACGCATTAGCATTTGTCACATATTAATATTCAACTCCTGAGTGGAAGAATCAATTATAGATAAAAACAAAAGTGTAGCCAGGGATGGGACATTAACTGTTTGCCCATTCTTAAGTAATTTGACAGCAAAAATACTAATTATTTATTTAAAAACAACCAAAAAAAAACCCTCTGAGAACACTTGTTAAAAATATGTTACTTCTAATATGTAGTATGACTGTATGCTGAAGTTTATATTTTTCTACATGAAACTATTTTTATTATACCATATAATTTTGAATACATTTCTAGAGAATGGGAACTTGTTTTGTTTTCCTGCTTCAGTCCAGGGCTCTCATCACTTTTATCCTCGGAATATTGCAGTAGTCATTACTCTCTCTACCTGTAGTCTCTTGCCTCTCCAATGCATTCTTTGTACAGCTGTGTTGGAGCCAAAAGCATTACTGTAATCATTTCATCTGCTATTTGGTAAACTCCCATGGCTCCTTTTATAATTGCCTCAAGGAAAAAATAGAAATTTATTCCCTGATATTTAAAGATTGATTTCATATTACTCACATATCACTTCCTACACAGGTCTTTTCTGAGTCCCCTACTTGTGACTAGTCTGTTCTGTGTGACATTACTTTGTGTGTGCTTAATTTTCTGTGTATGTAGGTGTTCTTGCCCTTTCCCTGCTCTCAGGTTTTATGTGGCATTTATATAATTTTGTTATAGTGTATTTATACAACAATGTTATTATTCTAATTATTATTGAATGTTTTCAAGTTGGCATTGTCTCTATATTTTAGGCAGTTAATACTGTTGGTGTTTTTTACACAGGAGAACACAAAATTATACCTCAATTTACTTGAAATGGAATATAGTGGGGACCTCAAACAAAATGAAGACAATATCCTCACCTGTTTTGACAAGGCTGTACATGGTTCATTGCCTATTAAAATGAGAATTACGTTTTCTCAGCGAAAGGTGGAATTTCTAGAAGATTTTGGTTCTGATGTGAACAAGTAAGACATTAAGCCTGCTATTTACTTGAAAGATGAATGAGTGAACATTGATTTCTAAAAATTTAAACATCTATGTCATTGTAGATATTTTTCCTTCTAAATTAAATATTAAAAAAACCTCCACACTAAAGCCAAGGAATATATCAGTGGTAACTTTGTTTCTGATTTCTGCTTAAAACTTTGCCCTTAAAAATTCAAATGAAGACTGGTTCCTTTGAGGGAACTTTCTTCCTTCATTACTCTTCTATTTTTCCCTTTCCCCTTGTTCCTCTCTTTTTTTTTTAAAGTAATATTGGAGGTGAAGATATTATCTGTCTCTAAAGTTCTGAATCCTCGGTTTCCTGGAAGTCAGTTTTCCAGAAATTATTTTAGTTTATAACCCAGCAAAAAGAGCTCCTGATCATCACTTAATTATGTATGTATTTACATTAATGAGGATAAAGAGACAAGGGTAATATTTCATTTGGCTTTATTAGAGCTCTTAGGGCGTTTAGGAGCTTTGGGAGAAAGCTTTGTTCTCTTCATCTTCCCCTGGGAATTGCAACTAAATTCAGAAGAAATAATTGAATGCCTCCTCTGTTAGGCATTCTTGGGCCCTTAGAAGAGAAAAAAGCAATACAGTATAAGAATCTGCTCCCAAGTTGGGTATGTACACACATAATACAAAAAAGTTTTAACATATTTTGTTTTTGCTATTTAAGTGCCAAAATGAAACATTCTGGAAGGGTTAGGGAAAGCAACGTGAACTTGGCCAACCATGTTGAATTTTGAAGGTGCTTGGGGGAAAAAGGAAGGAATGTCATCTCATTTTAGAAAGAGGTAGTAATCAATTTGGTTAAATTTATAGTCATTAAGGAAACAAATCTAGCTAGAATGAAGGGCTTGTTTGGCTAATCAGTGGGAGATTCAGTTGGTATGGTTTAGTGACCACATTTACTTGTTGTAGGGTCTTAAAATATTTAGATTTTTAATTTTTTTTGTTAATTTTTATTAAGATTTAAGAGTTTTGAAGACATTGGGGAACCATTGGAGGTTTCTGCTAGAGAGTGTGATAGCTTAATCTTGTAGCCATCTAATAGGGATTGTTGTAGTGAGGAGAGACTGTAGTTAATGATTTTTAGGCCCTTCTAGTAATATGGTAATTAATGGTTAGAACCTGAACTGAAGTTGGGACAGTAGGAATGGAGAGGATCCTGAGGTATTTTGATGGAAGAAAATACAGCACTTAAATAAGGAAGTCTTTTCTTTTAAAATGAAATCTTAAAAATAGCACAGTACAATGGATTCAAGAACTGGATCTGATAATTCATTGTATAACCCCGAAGCACGTTAAGTTACTTAGCTCTTAGTGCCCCCTCTGAATTGCAGAACATCTATAAAATTTTATTGGTAGAGGGAATTATCTTGCCAGGTTTCCCATATGAGTGGAATCACAGGTTGTGCCAAAAAAAAAAAATCTCATTGCCTTAAATGTTTGTTATGGTTTGGGGAGTTAGTAAAGAAGAGCAAAGAATAAAAAGTGTTGATGAAACAGATCAGAAGGAATTTCAGAAGAGGACACAAGCAGTGTTAGCATAATTGTGTTATGTTTAGTATATGCTTTCAAAAGAAAAACATCTAGCAGAAATTCATAGTTTTGTGTATAATTTGTTCTTTGTACATAAAAATGTTCATAATGTTGCCTGATGTTCGTGAAGTTCATTAAAAAAGAAAATTAGGGATAAAACAATATTTAGAATAAAAACTAAGTTTTCTTATGTAACTCTTTGCTCCAAAATTTGTATTTTAAAAGTGTAAAGTGTGCAATTTTGTGTGTGTATATGAGATAAAGCTCGACTTTAATAGGTTTTACTTAAACTTAGTTTAGTTTATCATTGCTTTAAAGCAAGTGATCTCATCCTTTCACTTAAATAGAAACCATAATGGCAAGAGATCTGGTTTCCCTTATAAAATCTTCAATTTGCTCATGAAATTTAGATTAATGTCTTTCATTTTTATTTTTTATTTTATTTATTTTTGTTGAGGCAATTGGGGTTAAGTGACTTTCCCAGGGTCATACAGCTAGGAAGTGTCAAGTGTCTGAGTCTGGATTTGAACTCAGATCCTCCTGACTACAGGAGCGGTGCTCTATCTACTGAGCCACCTAGCTGCCCTGGTTTAAGTTGTTTTATCAATACTACTTAATAAGTTGGCGCAGCCAGGATTCTAACCCAGGTTCTGTGAGTAAAATCCAGAGTTCTTTCTCCTGTTATACCATGCTGTCTTTATGTAATTCTTCCCCATATTTTCCTGTAAATCATACTAAAAGAGATATGCCTAACATGTCATGGGCTTGTCATCAGGCCCTGTGATGTTACAATACTGTATGTAGTCTGTTGGTACTTTTTTTTACTGTTTGGTTTTGTATCCCAACCTCTCATTCACAGTTACATATCTTGGTGATATCTTTCTATTTTACTGTTTCTTGACCTCAGTTCATAGGCAGCAGCCTATTTACACCCACCGGGTGTCTTTCCATTGCCCTAAAATGCCCTATTCTTCATAGAAGTGATATTTCTTGATTTGCAACCATGTAGTATCCTGGAAGAATAATGTTGTTCAGTCCAGCATGTTATTTTTTCCTTTTTGGTGAGGCAATCAGGGTTAAGTGACTTGCCCAGGGTCATGCATAGCTAGTAAGTGTCAAGTGTCTGGGCTTGAATTTGAACTCAGGTCCTCGTGACTCCAATACTGGAGCTCATATCTACTTTGCCACCTAGCTGCCCCTACCATGTTTTGTAGGCCCAAATCACTTTCCATATGTGAGTCCCATCATCCATATCATACCCCTTAACTGTGGGTATATCTCAAGGTCTGTCTTGGGCTCTCCTTTTTTCTCTATACTCTCTTGGTGACCTCGTTAGCTCCAAAGGGTTTGTCATATCTGTGCATTAGACTCCCACATCTGTTTATCTAGCTTTAGTCTTTTAAACTCCAGTCCCATATTACCAGCTACCTATAGGATATCTTAAACTGGATGGTCTATAGACCTAACGTGCAAAATATCTTATTATCTTTCCCTCCACAAATTACTCCTTTCTTCTTTCAAACTTAGCTATTTCTTTCAAGGTTACCACCATCCTTCCAGTTTTCATTGTTATCCTTAACTCCTCACTCTATCTATCTATATATATATCCATTAAGTTAGCAGTTACTGTTGTCCACTTCACTTGCATCCTCATCAGTTTTTAGGTCCAAACTCTTCCCTCTTCACATTACTGCCATCCTAGTTAAAGACCTCCACCATCTGTTCCCATACCTTTGCACTGGTTGATTTCAATGCATAAAATGTACTTCTTTCTCATCTCTGCCTCTTGAAATGCCTTGTACTTTCAGAACTCCACTAACATTACCTTCTATACAAAGCCTGTCCTGATTCTCATGCCCAGCTCAGTGCCCTTGCTGTATCAAAGCCACCTTGGTAAATATTTTATATATGTTATTATGAACATGCTTTTCTCTGAGAGAATGTTCGCTCCTTGAGGATAGGGGTTTTACCTTTTTTTTTTTCTGTATGCTTAGCACCTAGCATAAGGGCTAATAAGTATAGGTGCTTAAGAAATGCACGTTTTACTACATCAATATAAAAAAGCTATTAACCAACTCTTTAGGACTGTAATTTATTGGGATGGTCCTGACCTGCAGTGGTATGAAGGGTGTTCCGTATACCACTGAACTCAAAGGTACAATTCCTAATCCTTTCTGCTTGAATATCCTACAACTTTAATGCAGTCCCAGTGTTGGTTATCCACCAATATTAGTTGTGAGTGAAGACCTTACGAATATCTAGGGGCAGCTAGGTGGCGCAGAGGATAGAGCACTGGCCCTGAAGTCCTGAGGACCTAAGTTCAAATCTGGCCTCAGACCAAGCACTTGACACTCACTAGCTGTGTGACCCTGGACAACCCCAATTGCCTTTTAAAAAAAAAAAACCCAAAAAAATATCTACCAAAAAACTTGGTAAGACCCATAGATTTAACTCAGCATACCACTCTTTATATTTGATGACTTCAGTAGAAAAGTGGAAGAAATATATGAAAAAAAAAGTTCAGGAAGAAGGCTGAAGCTTACAGATTACACAAATCTCACCTTTGTTACACTTTCTTAAAAAAAAAAAAAAAAGGTAGGCACCGGAAATGGTGAGTACCAACTAGCACTGTAAAACCAAAATAGAGTATATTTTAAGAAAGAAAACTAATTTGTTACTGATGTGGGAGTATCACTGAGTTGACTCTGTATTTGGAAACCAACTCATTAGATTTAGTTTAAAAAAAAAAAAAAGGAGATGATACACAGTTGAAACAATTTAATCTTACTTAAATTAGTGATCAAAAATAGAAAGTGGACACAACTGTTATTGATTATTATACTTTGATCCATTTGTGAGGACTTTGAGGAATCTATAAGGTGGTTAAGGAGGCAGACATTCCAAAGGCATGGAGAAAAATCATAGACTTTAATACAATTGAAGGAGGCAATGAAGAGAATAATAATGGCTATTGACCCCTCTCCCATTGATACAAAATCTTTCTGAGATTTTTAACATGAAATAAAGACATCCTTGATGAGGGTAGTAGTAGAGAATAGCAGACTCACATCTTTAACAATTCACAAGTAATGAAGAGAATACAAGACTGCGCATAATCACTGTGGTCATTTGTTGATTTAAAAAAACAAAAAACACCAACATTTACTTTGGAAGGCTCTTTTACAACAAGGTTCTATCATGGATATGCCTATTAACATCCACGATTCCTTGAAAGATCTAACAGGAACAACACTATTGAATAACCTTCTGGTCATAAACATCAAGACAAAGCATGAGAGATCTAAGATGCAGGCTTGCCAATATTGCTCTGCACTGTAGTGGAGGTTGAGGCCCAGCCAAGGGATTCTTTGTGGATGGTGAGATTGTCCAGGTGCTCTGGCTTCCAGATGACATTGTGCTGATTGCATCAAAGTCCAGAACACCGAAGAGTATCCTCAAAGAGATCTGGCCCAACCATCCACACAGCAAATGCTAAGTGGATGAAAAATGTCTGTTGTCCAGACTCCAAAAAATGTTTGCACAATGTGTAGAACTCGCTGTTTGTATCTGGGACAGACAGTTCAGATGGACAGAATTGAATGTAAGGAGGACAGCAGGCTATTATATTGATCTGTTGAGTTTGGAAAATCACAAAGTTCTTTCCATAAACCCAAGCTTCCTATGAAGGACAATACCAGCATTCTACTATTGTTGGTATATGACGGCAAGACAGAATACAATAATGTTCACCAAAGAACCAAAAATGAATATCAGTCATATGAAGGGTGTGATTAGGCTGCAACTTAGTGGAGAACTCTGAAGAACTGGTGTAAAAGATATTCTCTGGGAACTGAATGACAAAAGAGAAGATGGGCGCTGGTTGTGTGGTAAAGTTGAGGAATGACAGGTGGCCAGTCAGCATGCTTCACAGGTGCCCTCAGAATTTCGGGAGAAAGGGAGAATTCTCTGTAGCACACTGAGTGCTTCTCTCCTATACCCCCACCCCATGAACTTACAGGAGAACATGAACAGTAGTTGCATATGACAGGCCAGGCATTGATGAGCTGCAGTCTGCATTGTGGGAGGAAAATTCAGTTATTCTGATGACAGATCTTAATGAGTAAGAAAAAAAGTATATTTTTAATAAGCTTGGCTTGACCTGAAGATAGGGAATCACTTTTTTTAACATTCACATTATAAATGAAATAAAAGACAAAAGAAACTTGGCACTGAATGTAAGAATGATTCAGAGATTTCTCATGGAGGCAAGTAAAAAAGCCTTTTGCAGAAGTTTTTTTTTTTTTTTTTACATATGAGTTAAAAGGCAGCAGGAAACATTTCGTGGGCAATTGGCCATCTTTTATTTCAGTAGTCATCATGAGGTTTTGAAGAAAATCATCATGAAGACAGTTGCAACTTATAGGCCAAAATCCACTGCAGACAAAGATATAGAGAAAATTTGTTTAAGCTTCCATTAAGAGAGACTTATGTGATGAAGATCTGGGCTGAGTCAGGATTCAGCAGTTTTTCAATAATTATTTTTTAGTGTACTAGTAGCTAATGCTTATAGATGGTCTAAAGATTCTCATTCTTAGGATCATTTTTCCTTTTCTGGACCACTAGTCCAACCCTCACATTTTGCAGTTGAAGAAATTGAGATCCATAGTGCCCTGTTGAAGCTTACACAGGTAGTAAATGAATCTCAATACCTCACAATTCCTCAGGGCTGTGTTGTATGATTATTTTAGGTAAATGCATGTTAGCCACTTGAGGAAATGAAAGTTATACATACACATCATGGTCCAGCTTGCATTTCTACAGAAATAGTAGCTTTAACAAACTGTATGACTGGGATAAATTTTTTCCTTATTGTGTGCTACTTGCATTATTACATAAAAAATATATCTTATTTTATGACTCATCATGATTTTGGAGTTTTTGTTTTGAGGCACAAGTATTGATAAAAGTATCTTTAATCATGAAAAATAAAGATAGGAGTTTTTTTGTTATTAAATGGTTTCCATTCATAGGCTGTTAAGTGCCAGAAATCTTGTTACAAATAACATAGATTATAATAGAAACTGTAAGATTTGTCTAGGCTGACAAATTTATCCTATGCCAACAAATTCTGTGAAGTTTTGTTTCTGAAAAAACACTGTCATAGAAAATATAAAGTTTGGTAATGTGACTTCATATGAATGAGTTAAAACATTCAAGTTGGAAACTTCTTGGTTTTCATTTAACATTGTATACATTTTTTTCTACTAACTACAAAATAAACTTTCATTACTGTTACAAAGCTTGAAGACTTTAGTTTTGAAATATAGCAAAACTAGATTTTGCAGAAAAAAATAATTTACATTATTTTATAGTTTAAAATATGGAAAAAATCCAGTATATATTTTTTTCCTATTTAGGCTTCTGGATGCTTATGATGAACATCAAATACTTTTAAAAGAACAAGACTCTTTAAAAAGGAAAGCTGAAAATGGGTATGTAATATCTGTAAGACCAAGATGGCTCATTACAGTGAAGAAATACTTTAACATTTTTTTTAATTTTTAACCCATAAACTACTTGATTTAGACTCAAGACTAGGTTGAAATTTTGCCTTTGATGTTTTATTACGTTTATGACCTTACACAAGCCAACCTCTTTGGGCCTGTTTTCTTATCTATTAAATGAAAGGGTTAAAAAAACCTTTCTAACTCTAAATCTGTGATCTTGTGGCTATACAGATTATAAATTGGGAATGTCAGTTCCTATATGAGAGAAATTGTCCCAATGTTCTCTTTTTGGTTTAGAAGTTATTTTTATGAACATAGGAAAAACATTTTTAAAAGTCAAGAGTCTACACAGAATAAAGTTGTGTATAATCCAGAATCAGTACCAGTATTTCAGTGAGGGCAAGAACCTTATTGCTCCTTCACTATGCTGATTTAAACTGGCTAAAGAACATAGATGTGCTTTTTAAAACTTAAGTGAATACAGAACTTCATTGTCTTGCTGGCTATAATTTTGAAATACTAAGTTATTTTTATTTGTCTTAATAGGGCAGAAGAGCCAGATGAAAAAAAAATACACACAGAAGATGCGACTTTGGCATCTACTCAAATGATTGACGGAGACATCCAAGCTAACCAAGCTGCATATAATTATAGTGCCTGGTATCAAGTATGTATAAATAATTCAGATTTGGGGCTTTTTCTATAAGATCTAATTTCTCTGAACTTTGTATGTTTTCCGCTGACTTTGTACTCATGGTAGTATGTCAGGGACCTATGTAGTTAGGTACATTCCTGTTAGATTGTAAACTTCCTGAGAAAAAGTGTCATTTAAAATTTTTTTGTGTTAGTATCTTCCACTAAAAGGATATTAGTACAGTGCAGGTACTATAGTACCTAGCATATAATGGGTGCTTAGTAAATGCTGTTTTGATCTGTTTTTGTCAGTATGGGAACTAAATAATGCAGATTGTAACTCATCTATAAATGTCTTAGAGTTGGTTGAGACCTAGGAAAGTTATGATTTGTCCATGAGTCACTGTAGGGGTCAGAGGTGGGCTTTTCAAATTTGCATCTTGACTCTAAGTCAAGTCCTTCTGCCATGATGGCTTTTCTTTGCATGTAGTAGATTCTTTTCCCGATTCTAAGCATAGGCTTTCCTTTGCTAAATGTTTAGAGCCATGGCTAATTTTTTAGGGTATTTATTTTTTGATTACTGAGTTAGGAGTAGAAATACTTGATTCCAGTACTACTGTGCTTTGAGAAAATAAGGGAGTTAACTAAAGGGATATTGTGTGCCTCAGACCATCTGTAAAATGGAGAAGTTAAAATTAGGTTTTCTTTAAAACTTACATAATTTTGGTGAGTAACACTGTATTTCATGATAAAAGTAACCAGATAACTGTGCTAATTTGTTTTTTCTTTACAGTACAATTACCAGAATCCCTGGAATTATGGACAGTATTATCCTCCCCCTCCAACCTGATGGAAAAAAGTATTTTAATTTCATAACTGGTATTGTCTGGGGTGGGGAAAAATGAACTTTTTTTTTTAAATGAGGGGTATAAACAAAACATAATTTGATAATATTTGATAACTTGTCTTCCCTGTTCACATGTAACATTTGCTTAGTAATTGGGACAATATTTCACTTAATAGCAAATAACATACTATTTCCTACTTTTTATTGGAGAACTTTTTTTTATTTTTGCATTAAGTGGTCTAGAATTCTCTCAACACATTTGAAACCAAGTCTAGTAGCCTTAAGGAGGAAAAAAAAACTGACTGAAAATCGTGTCAGTGTAGCAAGTAATTCTGAATATTACATAAGGGCTGGTTATTAAAATGTCTTCACCTCGTCCATCAAAAATTGTTTCAAACTTTCAACCTAAAAAGGGTTGTGTTCCAATTGTCCTTGTGATGTTGCATCTACTTATAGAAATATAAAGATCTAATCCTTAAATGGATATTCATAAATCCATAAGTGATAAAATGTCAAAATATTTGCATCCCTTTAAAAATGAAAATCATTAAAAATACGGTAGACTTTTGTATGTAGAATGTTCATGTATAACTTGTGAGCAGACTTTTTTGATCAAACCGATCATTTTCATAATAAAGCAAGGACTTATATGACAATTGCTTATGAATTGATTTTTTTAAAAAAACACTTTAGAAATTAAACTTGTGCCAATTAAAGCAGGCACCAAGCTGGGTGAGACACATTTTGATATTCTTTATTAATTAATTTTACTTTAAATGCCAAAAAACTCTGCTCCTTGCATAATCTTTATTATATACAGGTCTAGGGAGGGTTTGCCTTGCTCATACTCAAGAGGAGGATTTAAAACTACATCCCCAACTCTTTAGCCATCTGACTTCTGCTAAGCACTCAATCTTTCAAAGTGTATTTTCAACCAGCAAGAAAAGCTGTGCCCATTAGTCATCATCACAGATGCAGTGACATTTTTAATTGGGAAGAGGTTAGAGTTTAGCAAGAAGTTAGGAGGTAGAGCATCTAATCTGTTACCCACTTGCTGAAAAATGTGATTATCTTTATTAATAGCTAACACTAAGGTTTATTCCTTTAGTAAAAACAGGCAGATTTCTTAGTTGTGACTGAACTAATTTAGGTTTAAACATGCTTACTGTTTTTTGTTTTAACAAGTGTGTTTGTTTTAAAAATTTTTATTCCGGTTAAGTCACATGATCACAAAGATAACTACTAAAATTACTAGTGAGGAAAGCACTTTCTAAAAATATATTTAAAGCATACACTGAAAGGAATCTTATGCATTGCGTGCAGCCCCAGAAAATTCAGTGAGCCATCCACTGTTACTTGTGTTAATGTATTTGTATTCAGAATTTTGTATTTACAAATATGGCTATTAAATAATAGAAAACTCAACCCCAACCAGCCTTGTACATAGCCTCAACAATACATGCTCAACTTGAGGGATTTATCCTCAAAATGAATGTTTTCCCCACCCCCAAGAATAAGGTCAGTTCTTCAAGTATACACAAGGCCACAGGCTTGTAGAAGAAGTTCCTGAAGTATGTAGTTCAGTCAGTAAAACATTTATCACTTCAATCAATGTCCACTAATTCCACTTCAAAAGTGAGTTTTGCATTTGGTGGAATTCTGTTTGAGAAGTCAAGGAATAAATCAGACATTTATTTTTATCACAATACTCGAATAGCCAAAAAAAATCTATATGAATCCCTGTTTTATATAAATCAGAATGGAGCTACTCTATGTGGACTATTCTGAAAATGCTGAAGATTTCTGGTGATATACACACATACACACACACATACATTACCTAATATTTCAAACTTAAGACTTCACTTTATAGAGATGTTGGGCAAACTACCTTCAGAAAACCTCAAAGTTTTTCAGTATAGGAAAAGAGGCCCTTGGATTATCTTGAACTGTAACTGCCTGTTCCCCTCCATGGCAGAATTGTCATTTCTGTGTGATGGGTTGAGCACTGCATGCTGGTAATCCTGAACACTTTCTTCCGTATTTCAGGGTAAGCTTAAAAAGCTTTATCTGTATTAAAAAAAGTCATTTTCCCTTTCCTAAAATTGCAAAATGTAACATGAGTTAGTGCTCCAGATGATAGGTGATACATGGCATCGCCATTTTCTAGCTAGCTGACACCTGCTTCAAAAAGTGGCTACTACTAGAGAGATATCCATCAGAAGCTATGAATGAATGACTGTACAAAGTAGGAGGTTGGATTTCTTTTCTCTATTTGAAAGGAAAAAGGATACTTTGCATCAGGCTGTCCTTTCTTTCCATAAGCCCATTCAGGTTCAATCTCCAGGCGAGCCTTTTCTCCTTTACTCATTGTTAAGAGTGCTTCATCCCACTAAAAGTGAAAACAAAGAAAACATGACAAAAGAGGAAATCTGAGCTTTACAAAAAAATCTTACATATTAACTAGATAGAAATAATGATTCTTTTAAATAAGAGTAGAGACATTCGAGGTGATCACTATTTCTTGTGAGAACCATTAAGTCTCATTTTTAATAAGTCACAAGTCTGCTTTTGCCAAGGGCTTGTTTTTATAACAGACTTTTACACTTGTTTATCATTAACCTTCCTTTATATAAAAAGGTTTTTTAAATATTAGGTACTCCCCACCTCATTCCCCATTCTGGTTCTTGAAGCTATTTGTGAGGGGGAAAATCATGAGTTACAATATGCAAAAGCTGACAAGGCACACAGAATCAATTCTCAATTAATCTAAGTGGAGCTATGGCTCTCTCAAACAGTGGATAATCCATCATGAATATTTGTAAGCTGATGAGGCCCATCTGCTTAGCTATCCTATGATGTTAAGTTGTCTTAGTTTACAAAATTCATCCTGGACTCTGGTGATCAATCGAGAAGCTTATTAAGCACCTACCATGTCAGACCCTATGATAGGGATACAAATGTAAGGAATGAAACAATCCCAAATGTTATTCATTAAAATGAATACCTCAGTGCTGGGATTCCTAATGCAGCTGATTTTGATGTATAATTCTGTACTTAGGTTTCCATATTGCTAATATTTTGAATATTCACAATGAAAAACAATTAACTAAATGAAGACCTGACTAAACAGAACTTGAAAGTTGCCTTATGCCTCACTCAATATGAGATGATGTACTGTAATGAAATCCCATTGTTGAGCTTGTATTTGAAAGGTAAGAGACTGCAGAAAGTCTCAAGTAACAAAAATTGAGACCTGTTCCAATGCATCAAATTGGCAAAACTTGATTCTTTCCTTGTTCCTATGATCACTAGAGAGAGCAGTAAAGGAGATCATTAAGTCTCATTTTACCCCCTCATTTTACAGATGAAGTCAAAATTCAAATCCTGTCTTCCTCGTTCTAACTTGAGCAATGTCCACAACTGTGCTACCTACCAAGAAGCCACATGAAAAGTATGTTAAAAAAGTAGAGATAGCTCCTAGGCCCAAATAATTTTTGTAGGGAATCACTCCCAAATTATTCAGGTATATAAAGCTTAACAAAAATTACCAATAATAAGCAAAATCCAAATTCATCACCTTATTAAATTACAGGTAATTCAGTTAGAAATAAAAACTAGTTTTAGAAACACTCTGGTGTCATACTGAACATATACCCTAACTCCCACTCACTTTTTGGGCATCCAAGGAGTTCATCTATAATTTCTCTTGATACTTTAGTAACAGAGAAAAGAGTAATTCCAAATTTATACTGTAAGGCTGTTAAGTGCAAGGATGACATCTTATGTCTTTGATAGCACCTAACACAATGCCTTTTATGGGACAGAAATGCAAGTATATGTTGATTACTTACTCCTCTGATAACTTTACCCACTCCAACTTTAAAACTTAGAGGCTTAGCATTCTTTTTCTTCTTTGCACCTGTAAAACAATTTTAAGATATGATCTATTTTTTGAGAACTTGATTTTTTTATTTAAACAGTAGACAGTAACCAATTACATTCTTGCTGATGTCATTATGCAGGCTTTTTGATAGTATAAAAGTAAAAGCCAAAAAAATCAGATGACTCAGTTCTGTATTATGTTTTAAATATTCAAGCTTATCACTGAGAAGCTTTGTTTCTGTTTGTTTTATTAGGCTTGAATGACACTTAGTCCAAGTATTTCAGGCCCTATAATGCTGCATCATTCAAGGCTGGGGAATTAGGGTTTTTCCATTTCTACTCAGATTTTGAATTAATCTATCGATATCAGCTGTGTTGAAGGCACAGTGCTATCAACAGCCTATAGTAAACCAGTAAAAAGGAGACTTGTTAATAAAGATGTCTTTTATGTATATAGTGCTTTATGGTTACAAAGCATTTTCATGTAATTAATTTAATCCTCAGAATAGCCTGTACAGAAGTGCTGGTGTTTTTATCCCCATTTTACAAATGAGGGAACAGACCCAAGAGGTCAGTCACAAAGGTTGGATTTGCATAGACTAGAATCTAGGTTTCTCGACTACAAATTCAATGTAGTTTGAAGTAAACTGATGGTTCCCAACCTGTGGGCCAAGGACCCTTTTTCTGGGGGGAGGGCAGGGGGAGGATTAAAGCGGGAAGAGGAACAGCAAAATTATTACAGGGGTCTTCAAATCCACATATGTAACCAAGCATTGTCTTTTTTTAAACCTTAGTTCCAATAAAAATGCAGCATGGCTCATGTATGTATTACCATTTTTTAAATGTATATAGATGTTGTTATGATTACTAAAAGTCATTAAAAGTTTTTTAATTCATAGTAACTTTTTATCATCGAGTATTTTCTCAATGAATGCGTACGAATGAATGAATGGGGATGGCATAGTCCATGAAAAGTTTTGATGTGAAAAAAATCCACACACTTAAAAGGTTTCAAACCATTGTACTACACTGTAGAATCTTCCTGCACTTGGATTCCAGGTTAAAAACAAACTTGTGGAGCGTTCTGAAAGTGCATAATAAGCCAATGGATACTCCCTGACATTTCTCCAACTTATAAACACAAATGATTCACAGTGTTATTTAAAGTAAACCAAATCCCAAGACTTACTAGTTTGAATATTAGTATCAAAAACAGTTCCATCCTGTAATGTTCCTGTGTACCAGCAATGAACAACATCTCCTTTTTTGGGAAAGTTAGTTTTATCTCCCTTCTTAAGAATAGATTTCGTATATTTTGGTGGACCCTAAATAAAAGATAGAAACACAGAATTTGCAGCAACTTAAGTCTCTCTTTGAAAAATTCCCATAGAGATTAAATATACCCAAATCAACTTTTTTTGGAGGGGGGAGCGCAAGGCAATTGGTAGTAAGTGACTTGCCCAGGGTCACACAGCTAGTAAGTGTCAAGTGTCTGGTCTGAGACCAGATTTGAACTTAGGTCCTCCTGACTTAGCTGGCCCCAACTCTAACTTTTAAAAAAAGCCAAAGAAATAAAAGTAGTTGTTAAATTATACTATCATTAATGGATATTATATTCCAGTAGAAATTGGACAGGACCACATTCATTCATGTCAAACTCAAAATCTGAATGTTAAAAATCGTACAAAGCCACTAGTATCCAGAATATTTTGGATTTTATTCATTTATAATTCCCAGGGTAATGACTTCCAATTTTTTCTTTTTCTTTTGACATGAACATATAGATTAATTTTAAAGTGAACTATTAAAATTAGCTCAACAATACTTTTTTTTCAAATCAAGTATATTGGAGTCATTTAATTTTTTAAATATCTTTTCCACACCAGAAGAACATTTAAAAATTTATGTCCATGATTTCAGAGTTGGTTTGGTTTCATAAATATTACTACCTACCTGAAAATTCCACCTGTAAAATCAATTAAATTCAAACATTTATTAAATGTCTACTAAGTACAAGGCATAGGAGTTACAGATTTAAAACAGAAGGCCAAGAAAATAGAACTGAAAACTTAAATGAAGAAAAGAAAAGGTTGATAGGGAAAATGACAGGAATAGTTTTGTTTTGAGTTAAAACTGTGCTGGCTATAATTCAAAAGAGTAAGATTTAATCCATCTATCCCAAAATGATTTCTGAAATTTCTCAACAGTTCTTAACATTAAGATGAGTTAAATAAAACTAATGGATTAGTATCTATTATTTAACAATATTTTACACAAATGTACACTTTTAAACAATAGCTTTGGTCTGAAAACTTATCTAAATCACATCAGTATAAATCAAACTATTACACTCAACTACATCAAATATTATCCCATAATATTCTGCTTCTTTAAAATGAAGTTCACACCAAATTTCAAACATTTAAGAAGTGCTTATCCTGAAAATGCTAAAGTATAAACACCCTGAGGATAGAGATGGTGCCTTAATCATCTATCTCCAACTGCACTAAGCACAGTAACTTCATAAATTCAAACTCAAAATTACTGTGCTGCTTTCTATTCACTTTCTTTATTTCTTTGGTAGTCCCCTCCTTCCATTCTGGTTCCTCCCCCAAAATACAACCAGTATGGAAGTACGTTCCACATGACTACACATAATACAACTTATATCAAAATCCCTACCTTCCTAGGGAGAAGGGAGAGAGAATCTGTTAAATGAATTAACATTAATGAATGTTAAAAACTGTCCCCAGATGCAACTGGGAAAAACAAAACACTATTTAAAAGAAAAAAAAAGACTCAGCTCATGCCCTACTTCTACATGATACTTTTTCTAATTTAATTTATTCAATTCAGTAAACATCATGTGCTTTTACTATGTGCAGTCCTTACCCTAACCCTTATTTAAAATAAAAATGTCAAAAAAAGTTTGGTTGGAAGTCCTAACACACTGCCTATCTAATCAGTTGCCTGTTGTTGATTTTATTAATGGATTCAAATCCATCTCCACTCACACAGCCATCGCTCTAGTTCAGACCCTCACTTTTGCAATAGCTTCCTAACTAGGTTCTCTGAGCCAAGTCTTTCCTTACAAAAATCCATCTTCTACACAGCTGTTAAAGTGTTGTGTGTACTACGTAAGTCAGTCTGGCCACATCTCTCCCCTATACTCAAGCCTCGGTGGCTCCTTATTACTCCCGTAAGATTTCATATGAACTCCTCTATTTGGCTTTTAAAGTCCTTTGCACCCTTACATCTGCAGTATGACCAGTGCTATGCTTGACACATAGCACTTAATAATTAGTGACTGGTGACTGACTGTACAAATGATCCAGAAGTACTCCTAAGAACAACAAAAGAATATTCAAGACTTCTGGTGGTATACATTTTAAAAGGCATTTCTTCAATTCTGCAGGGAAAACTTATTTGTATCACAGAGAAGTTTCTCTTCTGGAACCACAGACTGCTGTCATGTCCTTCAGTTCATTTTTATTGAAAATCCTAGAATCTTAGCCTCAAAATGTATAAAGTTAAAGCTAATAATTTATTCAGGAAATTGTGCTGGTGAACTTGATGGATCTCCCCCTCTCATGGAAAAGAATGGTTATGAAAATTTTAATCCCCACCGAGCATTTTACATTAAACAATTTTAATCCTTTCTGTTAAGTCATTTTTCAGTCATGTCTGACTCTTTATGACACCATTTTTGGGGTTTTCTTGGCAAAGGAGTGGTTTGCCATTTCCTTCTCCAGCTCATTTTAAAGATAGGAAACTGAGACAAAAAGGGTTAAGTGACTTGCCCAGGCTCACACAACTAGTAAGTGTCTGAGGTCACATTCGAACTTCAGGCCCAGCACTCTATCCACTTCACTACCTAGCTGCCCTAATTTTAATCTTTAATACTTAACAAAATAATTTTCATGAATAAAACTGGAAGCTGTTTCAACTTAGCCCACTTCAAAAGGTAACTTACATGAGGATTACTAAATTGATGTGCTGTGACAACATATAAAAAGAATTTCAAGATTAGAAAACAAATCTTTTTAAGGAATTTGTTTTCTCAGAGAAAAAGAATCCTAATAAACCATAAAAATAAATTACTTCAAAAGTAATGTTAAAATCCTCTAGTTTTTTTTTTTAAATTAAACTGCTTTTTAAATTAGAAAATAGATTAGACTTCTGATTCATAAACAGGAATCAAATTTTAAATGCCAACTACTCAAATGTTCACTGGGTTTCTGGTCACAGAAGCACATCATTTAACCTATTTAATCCACAGCTAAGGCAGATGTTACAGCAAGTGTTCAGTGTCACCTCAATCTTCCATGTTCCCTGTTCAACTTCAAGATAACAACCCATTATAGAATGGGGCTGAAGAACTTCAAATTTTGTGACTGACGTGGGACATGGGGTTTACTTCCTGGTGAACACAGTGGAATCACCTTAAAAGAATAGCACAGTTCCAGGGCCACTCAGAAATTAAGTCAAAATGCTATGAATGGCCCTGAAACTAACCCAGTTTCTAAGGACTTCTTCAGAACTATAAATACTAGTGGCCAGGTAACACAGATGTAGAACTGATTGATCCTTAACTAGCCTGGGCTAACAGAATTGTAAGCACAGGAATCTTACCATCATGGGTTAATTACTCCAATGTACTATGTTTTGAAGTTTCCTGCAGTAAGAGTGGCTCCAAAGAAATCTAAGAGGAAAAGTTTCTATATGTACAAATATATTTATAGCAACTTTTTAAAAAATGGTCAAAGATCTGGAAACTAAAGGGGTGCCCATCAGTTGATGAACAGTCAAACAAATTAAAGCATGAACATAATGGAATGCTATTTTGCCTTAGAAATGACAAAACGGATGGTTTCAGAGAAACCTGGGAAGACTTGCATGAACTGATAGAGTGAAGTGAGCAGAGCCAGAAGAATTATTTGTGTAACACTGTAAAGACAAACAATTTTGCTAGATTTAAGAACTCTGACCAATAAAATAACCAACCATGAGTCTAGAGGACTGATATTCATCATTTATACTATACACCAGGGATGGGGAACCTGTTGCTTCAAGGCCAAGTGTGGCCTTCTAGGTTCTTGGGAGCAGCCTGTTGATTGAGTCTTATGTTTTACAGAACAAATTCTTTTATTAAGGGGATTTGTTCTGTGAAGTTTGGATTCAGTCAAAATACCTAGAAGGCCACATGTTCCCCACCCTGGCTATACACCTATAGATAGAGAGATGATGGATTCAAGATGCAGAATAAGAATAGAGAAGTGGCTAAGTTATCTCTGGAGAAACAACAAAAGTAAAGGCCTGGAGACAGGACTATGTGTGTTTGGGAAAGAGTAAATAAATGAATTAGCTTGCTTAGAATAGAGGGTTCTTTAGGGGAGAACTTTTTTTTTCTTTTAAGGCAATTGGAGTTAAGTGGTCACACAGCTAGCATCAAGTGTTTGGTCTGAGGCGGAATTTGAACTCAGGTCCTCCTGACTTCAGGGTCAGTGCTCTATCCACTGGGCCACCTAGCTGTCCCCTAGGGGAGCACTTTTCCAAATATGATCAGAAGAGTAGGATGAATCCTTTTTTAAGATATTCTGGTTGGTAGACTAGAATGTTGGATTTTATCCAACAGGCAATAACCACCACTGAAGCTTGTTTGAATGGGTGGGGTGATGTATGTAAGAGAATGCTTCAGGGAAGATTAAGGGGGCAATGATATAAAGCACCAAAGAGAAAGAAAAGGGAAGACTAGAAGGCAAGGAGAATATTTAGGAAACTGCCCAGGAGTAAGATATGATCCTATATTACACTGATGACAGCAGGAATGGACAGGAAGGAACTGATTCAAGAGACATTAGTAATAAAGAATTGACAAAGGCAGCATGGGTGGAGTGAATTAAGTGTTTGACTTGGAGACAGGAAGACCCAGAATTTATATTCTGCCTTCCCATATCTCGTATCAGTCCTTCCTGTCTCAATCAATAAGTACTAATTAAATGATTACTATGTGCAAGGTATGCAAAGATAAAAATGTAATAGTCCCTGCCTTCAAGAAGCTTGGGAAGACATTTTATATAAACATACAAGATAAATTTATAAACACACAGATGTACAACATATATACATACATCTATATTAAAAAATACAAGGTAATTTGAGGGGAAAGAAAATCAAGAAAGGCTTCATATAGTAAGTGGTGTTCAAGGAAGTAAGGGATTCTAGGAGAGGGAGGTAAGAAAGGAATGCATTACAATGAAATGAGCAGAACCAGAATACTATACAAACAGCCACAGTGTGCAATGACTGACTTTGATAGACTTAGGTCTTCTCAGCAACGCAAGGATGTAAGACATCTCCAAAAGTCTCATGATGGAAATTGCTATCCACATTCAGAGAAACAACAATGGAGTCTGAATGCAGATTAAAGCATACTATTTGCTTTTTTTTCCTTTGTTGTTTTGTTTTATTGCTTCATTCTCGTGGTTCCTCCCATTAGTTCTAATTGTTCTTTTTACATCATGACTAATGGGAAAACATGGTTAATGTGAATCTATAAATAGAGCCTATATCAGATTGCATGCCATCTTGGGCAGGGGGAAGAGGAGTGGGAGAGGGAGAAAATTTAAAACTCAAAATCTTATGGAAGTGAATGTTGAGAACTAAAAAGAAATAAATTATCAATAAAAAACAAAAAAGAAAGGAGTGTATTCCATGAATATGAAACAGCCTATTCAAAGGTACAGACAGGAGCTGGGGTAAACTCTGAGGAACAGCAAAAGTAAACTTTTTAGGATAGCTTAGCTAGACTACAGAGCATGGAAAGGAGAATAATAAGGTTGGAAAGGAAGACTGGACCAGGTTGTGAAGGACAACAATTTCCACTTTATCCTATAGGCAACAGAGAATCACTGGAGTTTATTGCATACGGAAGTAATGTGCATGAAATAGTGTTTTAGGAAAAGCATGGAAGAAGGCAAGGAGCACTCTTAAGATACTGCAACTGCAGAGGTATGAAATAATGAGGTCCTACATTATTGTGGTGATATCAAGGAGGGACTTAAGATTTGGGACTTTAAGGAATAGATTTTAAATGTCAAAGATGAAAAAAAAAAGAGGCAGTGTAGTCCAGTGGATTATACGCTAAAATTGGAGTCCAATCACACAACCACCAATTCAGGGATTCATAACCTCCCGTCTAGACTACTGCAACAGCCTTATAACTGGTCACTCTTCTTCCATTCCCTCCTCCTGGCAGTCCATCTTCTACAAAGCTGCCAAATTAGGGTGCCTAAAATCTAACTCCGACCATGTCATTTCCCCAATTAAAAAAAAGGGAGGGGGGCAGCTAGGTGGCACAGTTGGATAGAGCTCTGGCCTTGGAGTCAGGAGGATCTGAGTTCAAATCTGGCCTCAGATACTTGAAACTCATTAGCTATGTGACTCTGCGCAAGTCACTTAACCCTGACTGCATCACCAAAAAAAAAAGGGGGGGGGAGGAGAACAGTGGCAAAGAAGGAGTTGTCTCCCCATGGCCTCTAGAGTAAAATACAAAAGCTTCAGCCTTGCATTTAAAAGTCCTCTACAGTCTGACTCCCATCTACCTTTCCAGGCTTATTTTATACTCCCTACTTCATGTACCTTATGTTCTAACTGTACTGGCTGATTAGCTGTTCCCTGTCTCCAATATTTCAATTCCCATCTCTGTGAGCGTGCATGAGCTGTCCTCCATGCCTGGCTCGTCTTCTCTCTTCACCTTTGCCTCTTTAGCTGCCACCCCCTACATGAAAGCCTTTCCTGACCAGCCCTCCCATCCCTAGACTGTTGTGAGTGTTCTCAAATTACACTGAATTTACATATTTAAGTATATATTTTATCTCCCACCTTTAACAACAAAAAGCTCTGAGGACCATCTTATTTCTAATTCTTTGCCTCCTCAGGGTCGAGACCAACACCTTGCTTAATAGTTACTTATCTGGACTGAAACTTGCTTTTAAAATAAAGGATTCAATCACTGTATATCACTCAATAAGAAAATAACATGCAATTTTACAAAAGACTTCCGATTCTCCACTTGAATTTCTACAGACTACAAATAGTATCTCCATCCTGAGATCCTTTCTACCTATGAGAACCAGAGACTAAGTTATATGGCTCTCAGGAGGAAAGCAGAATAATAAGAGTGGGGGGAACTCACTCCCCACTGGCTGAAATCCATAAGATGTGTTAGCATTGTAATCAAACCAGTTAAAAAACTGTCCTCTTAAACTTTCATGGATAGACTTGTTTCTAAAAACCACAGATTAAAGGATAATTCAATTAATTGGATATTTACAAGCTCCTATGTTCCAGGTCTACAAAGACAAAAATGAGGATTGTTCCTTGTCTCAAGAGACAACACTAACAAGTGGGGAACAGGAAAAGCCTCACATAGGAGGTGGGGCTTCACCAGAGATTTGAAAGATGCCAGAGATTCCAAATGGCATAAGTAAAAGGGGGAACATTGCAGGGATATGAGATAGTCCATGCAGAGAGGCAAAAGATGGAATGTCATGTTGAAAAAACTGCAAGTAAGCAAGCTTGGCTAGAACATAGCTTATGGGAGTGATATGAAACCAATCTAGAAAGTTATGTTGAATGGCTAATATGGAACTGTTTTTACATGATTTCACAGGTATAATCAACATCATATTGTGGTAGAGGTGTGGGGAAAGAATTTGGAACTCAAAATTTTAAAAAATTGAATGTCAAAAAAGTTTTTATAGTAATTTGGAAATATTTAATTAAATTATTTTTTTACAAGGGGGAGGGGAGCAGCTAGGTGGTGTAGTAGATAGATCTCCGGCCTTGGGGTCTGGAGGATCTCAGTTCAAATTTGGCCTCAGACACATGACACTTACCAGCTGTGTGACCCTGGGCAAGTCACTTAACCCCGACTGCCTCACCAAAAAGTAAAAAAAAAAAGAAAGCCAAGCTGAAGCCAGGTTGCAAAGGGTTTTACCCAACAGAGGTATTATCACAGAGACAATAGGAAGCCACTGAAGCTTCATCAAAAGAGGGCCAACCAGTGCTCTGGGAATATCAATTTGGCAGATGGTGTGAAGGATGGACAGGATGAAGGAAGACCAATTATGAAGTGACTGAAGGGTAGAGGACATGAAGGCCTGAAATAGGGTGGTAGTAATACACACACTCACACTCTCTCTCTCTCTACATATATATGTGTGTGTGTGTGTGTGTGTGTATGTATGCATGTAAAGATGTTGCAGAAGTAAAATTAACAACACTTAGCAATTAATTAGATACAGGTAGTGAATTTCCTTACAGAGAGGTGATGGACTAAGATACAGAGAGAAGAGAAGTGTTCTCGGACGTAGCCAATGTGGAAATTTGTTTTGCTTGACTATGCTTGTTACAAAGTTGTTGGGGTTTTTTTTCTCCCCAATGGAGTGGGGAAGAAAAGAAATGCTTCATAAGTGAAAAAAATTTTTTTTTGAGACATAGAATGAAGAGTCAAAGATGACTCCAAGGTTGCAGGTGACTCAAATTACGGCAACGTCCTCGAAGTTGTGAGGTGAGTTTCATGGGGAAAAGCAGTTTTGCTTAGTCATTCTGTGTTCCCTATGCCTATGAGGCACCAAAATAAAGAAATGAAACAGGAAATTTTGGTGTTACAAAACTGGCACTCAGAAGTGCAATGAGCTCAATAAGCAAATTTGGGAGTCTCTTTGTAGACAAGGAGATAACTGAAACCATGGGAATAAAAAAGATAACCAAAGGAAAAGAGAAAAAAAGACCTAGGACAGAGCAGGCACAGCCATGCAAAAGTGGGAAAACAAGGATGATAATCCAGATAGTCAAAGAACCAGGAGAGACCAAGGTCAGGAAAACCACACCCCCATCTTGCCACCCCCCCCCCCCCCCCCCGTTGTATATTTAAACAGTGTCAAATACTTCAAAGGTCAAGAAAGGCAAAGATTGAGAAAGGACCATTGGTAACCTTGGGAAAAGTAGTTCTAGTTGAATGGTGGGGTCAAAAATCAAATGACAAGAGAATGAGATGTGAGATGGACAAGAGGGACAATAATTTTTATGCAATCAACCCAGGCCTGAAAGATCCAAGGAGGTCTAAATACTTCAATCACCTATTTTTAGTCCCAAAAGTTGAAGCAATAGGTTCAGGCTTCCAAGTATAGGAAGAAAGAGTTCCCAAAGATCTATTTCAATTTGCATATAGAATCTTCTGGCTAGAAATTCACCTGAAAGTTTAGAAAAAACTTGGCTCAGGATTGGAAATTAAAGAGTAATCCAAGGTTAGATCTCTAGATTCCACTAAGTAACAATATCATTAAAATTTATATTTAAAAGCAAAAATAAAGTTGCAAAATATTTTATGACACTCTACAGACCTCATCCAAAGTCTCTTCATGCTTGACTTCTTTGGATTTCTCTTCATCAAGCTTCACACTTTTCACCTGCTCTGTCACTTTGGCAATACTCTCAGTACCTTTGAAACGCTGTAATAAAAATCCCTTACATGTTAACATATCAAAGACAAGCTCTTTTCATGAACACTACACCTAAGGAAGTCTGGCTACTCTGTGCCAAATGAAAAACTGTGACATGAATTTAACGTGAAATAATTGGCCTAAGGAATATAAAATATAAAAAGAAATTACTCTGTTTTTACTATATAAATCATGATCTAATTTTCCAAAGTAATACTTGAAATAAGAACCAAAAAATAACCCTATAGATATATCCCTGAATCAGAGGTACAAATGTAGGCAGACCCTATATAACATTGCGGGAACCAGTTGTTTTGCAATAACACTGCTAATACATTTTAATCTAACTCAGATCACAACACTGCAATACTCCACCATAACATTCTTTTTTGTCAATTCATCTTTGGATTGTTCCTATAGACCTGCTATGTTACGGTATCCAAAAATCACATTTTCATAAAACAAACTGATGAGAATAGATAAAGCATCAACCAATAAGCATTTATGAATCGCCTACTATGTATCAGCCACCATGGTGAGCAGTAGTACAAAGATAAAAATTAAACAGTTCCAACCCTCAAAAAATACATATTCTTGGGGGTGAGGAGTGGGGTGGAGGTTGAAGGGGGTGAAGAAGATATGCTGATGCTACTCATTTAGTCACTTAAAAAAAAGGAATCCTTTCTGCTAAAGCTGCATATTTTACAAATAACAATTAGAAGGGTACCTTCCGAGATGTTTATAGCTACCAGAATCTAAATGTATAGCACTTCACAGACTCATTAAAATGGAGGTTCTCAACCTTTTCTGTGTCATAGACCCCTTTGACAGTCTGGTAAAACCTACAGACCCCTTCTCAGAATTCATATAGCTAGTATCAGAGCCAGGAATCTAACAAATATACTCTCACTCCAGTCTAACACCCTTTCCACGAGACTAAACTGCAGCTTCAGTAATATGATAATGACATCTTATATAATATCTCAATTTTTCATAACCATTATCTCATTTTATGTTATAAGAGATCAAACTTATTAATAATAAAATCAAGATCTCATCACGATGTAAATTACTTCCCTAGAATTGGCAGATCTTTCATTTATCTCTGCATTTTAGAAAACCAGCAGACAATACATAAATTTAACCAACACCAATACATACTCATGTACAATTTAATAATTATGGCTCTAATGTATCTATAACTATGCATATGGAAGCATATACTTACATTTATATCTATAATTCCAAAAGAACAAAATGCCAAAGATAATTATTTGAATATATACAGAATGGAGACACTTACCTTACTTTCAAAAAGATGGTTGTAGGCTGTGACTAAATGATCTTTGTTTGCTGTCTTGGCCACATTTTTTATGTTTCCTAGTAATTTATGTTCTGCAAGAAACTATTAAGAGAGGAAAGTTACATATAATAATTTCCCCAAGCAAGGGGTGTCTTTAAAGATGCTCTCTTGGAATTTCTAGCTTCCCTCAAAGTTAAGAATTTGCTAAAAGAAGCCAATTTCTAATTCCTCTCAATACCCCAAATTACTTAATTGTACTTATTCTAAATACTTTCTATTTTCTATACTTTTATCTGTACACATTTTGTTTCCCCCCTCCCCCAAAAGAATGTAAGCTCAGTGTTTGGCAGAATAGGCACTCTCAAACACTTGTGGACCTGAAATGAAGTGTATGGAACACAGACATTAAAGTTTTTCTATTATATTTCCTCAAGGTGCTAGTCACATTGTAGATTTATTATTATTTTGGGGAAGCAATTAGGGTTAAATGACTTGCCGAGGGCCATACAACTAGTAAGTATCTGAGGCCAAATTTAAATTCAGGTCCTATAGACTATGGTCAATGCCATATCCACCCATGCCACCTAGCTGCCCCACACTGTAATTTCTTAAAAATGTTACTGTTAAAATTATAGAGGCACTGTTCAAAGACAAAAGAAACACCGAGCTATCAGCTCTATGGTTTTGATACTGCCTGTTTTGGACAGTGCAAGAGTAGTTGTTAAAAAATTGGCTGTAATTCCACTTATACCACAGATGTTACACTATCAAAAAAGTAAAAAACCTAAAAAGATTAATAGTATAATTTATTTACAAAGGTGTAAAATTAAACTCTCTTTCCTCATCTCGCAACTACATGCCATACTAACCACCTCCTGATAGAGAGGTGAGGAACTCAAAGTGCAGATTGAGACATTTTTATTTTTGGATGTAGCCAATACAAAATTCTGTTTTGCTTAGCTACACATATTTATTAGAAGACCTGTTTTCCCCCCTTATATTTGAATTAGGGGTGAGAGGTCGAAAGAATGTGGATTTTGGTTAATTTGAAAAACACAGAATTTAAATAAAATAAATCACTTCCTTCTCTCTCTTGGCTCTTCACCAGTTTTCATTCTGCCTCCTTCCCTATCAAAAAATTCTCTTGCTGTCTTTTAGTAATGCTATCTCCTTTCTTATTAAGTCATTTTGTAATCTACCACTCAAGTTTTTTTCACTTTTTCATTTCTACAAGAGGTTTACTCTTTCAACTTATGCATAAGACCTAAGTATAACTGAAGCTGATGAGAGAGAATTTGAACTGACCTTAGGAGAGCGGTTCTTAACCTTTTTTGTGTATGGAAAAGCCTATGGACTCCCCAGAATAATGCTTTTAAATAAATAAAATACATACGGTGACAAAGGAATCCCATTAAGCTAAAAGTTATCAAAACATTTAATAAAAATAGAAAGTTCAGGGATTGAGAACCCCTGTTTTATGCAGAGCATCAGAATATAATCGAGGTTGACTGAGTTTGGAACTGGCTTAAGCTTTTTGGTGTCATGCAGTCTTCTGTCCACTGGTGAAGTCAATGGACCCCTCACAGAATAATGCTTTTAAATGCATAAAATAAAAATACACAGGATTAAAAAAGAAACCCCTTAAGTTGAAATAGTTACCAAATTTTAAAAACCACTTTAAAATTTAAAAACCACCAAGTTCTGGTACCCCTGTCCTATGCAGGGCATCTGAGTAGCGCTGAGGTCACTGCAAACTTGGGGTGGCCTTAGGAAGCCAAGGATGCCCTTAGAGAAAGGGCATGGGGCAGGACCGGCCCCTGGCCACGGGACAGAGAACGCCGACCCCACGCCCACTCAGCCCACTTCGCCAACTAAGATTTCAGGGAATGAGGTTTCAGCAAAATTTGGAGAAAAGAAAACGCAACTAAAAATTTTTAAAAATGGGGAGGCGCTGAGAGGGCACGACCCAGGGCCCAAGGCGACGGGCAGCGGGGAAGGAGGGACGCGTGCGCCCACAACCCGCTCGGGCTCTCCTCTCTCGCCTCCCCGACCTGGCCCGCGCACTTCGTCCCGGAGGTCTCTGCCCCTTCCCATCTTCCCCACTTCCCTCAAGCCCGGGGAGGCGGGACTTCTTTCCGGGGCTCGAGATTAAAATACGAGGTTCTAGTTCCGGTAAATGGAGGGGCGGCTCCCCCCGCAACCCCACGAGGCTGGGTGCGCGTGGCGAGGAGCACGAGGCGGGAGATAGAATGTTGTCGGGGGGTGGGGGGGCGGAGAAGGGTTGCCCCCTCAACTATCCCAAGCCCGGCCTCTTCCCTGCCCTGAGGTACCGAATCCGAGCCGTTGTCCTGCAGAAACTTGATGATGTCCTTCTTGGGGAGCGCTTCGCTGCGCAGCTGCTCCGCAGTCCACACCCGCTGGGGTCCAGCAGCCGCCATCTTCCCCCTACAGCCACTATGCGACTGAGCCCGCCCGCCGCAGCCGAACCCGTCCCCTCCCTCCCATCCCGGAAGGAGGCGGGCCAGAGGTTCGGGGCTGGCGAGTCACAGGCGGTGTTCCCTCGGAAGCCTTGAGCAGGATTGGCCAGCTTTTGAGTGACGTAGAAGTCTCCTGCGAAGGCTCTCCTTTTTTGGTTTGGGGGACGTGGCCAAAGCCTGCCCGATTTCCTTCTTCATCTTTCTCTAAATGAGCGTTTGCTGTAATCTCTAGAGAGGGGCGTGTAGAGATCTGCATCGTGGTGCATAAAAGTCAGTTTTCAAAATTACCCTAGAGCATAGACTAAGTAGGATGTTCGACCTATACCCAAAAGGCCACAATATGTCTGAAATATTCTTAATGAAGTTACAATACTTAGAAAAAGACTGAGATTGGCATTTGCTGAACTTTTTTTTTTTTTAAGTTTTTGTTGCAAGGGAAGAACTCTGCATATTTGTTACCATTAAGTTTTCCCCTACCCTTGCTGGTGAGGAAAACGGAAGAAGAAAATAAATACTTGTTAATTGAAAAATTTTTCCTTAAACAAAGATTAGGGAATGATATATTAAGAAATGAGATTCAGTGAAATAGAGGACTTTAAAGCATTCTTGATGAAAAGACCAGGCGTGAATAGAAAATTTGATTTTCAAATACAAGACTCCAGTGCAACATGAAGAGGTAAACAGGAAAGAGAAAATCATAAGAGACTGGTTGAACTGTTTACATTCCTGCATGGAAAGTTGATATTTGCAACTCATGAGACCTTTGTAAGTATTACAGTAGTTGGAGGGAAAAAATTATATGTACATATATATAGATATAGATAGATAGAGGGCACAGGGTGAGTTGAAAATGAAGGGGTCATATCTGGAGAATAAAATTAAGGGGTGAGAGAGGATTATACTAGGAGAAGGAGAAAGGGAGAGGTAGAAAGGGGTAAATTATCTCACAAAAAAAAAAACCCAGAAAAGAAAAGGCTCTTACAGTGGAGGAGAAATGGGGAAGGTGAGAGGGAATGAGTGAATCTTATTCTCATAGGATTTGACTTAAGCAGGGAATAACATACACACTCAATTGGGTATGGAAATCTGTCTTACCCTACAGGAAAATAGGGGGGGAAGGGGACAAGCAAGTAGGGGGATGATAGAGAGGAGAGCAGATTGGGAAAGGGGGTAATCAGAAGCAAATACTTCGGAGGAGGGACAGGGTCAAAAGAAAGAATAGAATAAATTGGTGGGTTGGGATAGGATTAAGGGAAATAGAGTTAGTTTTTCACAGCATGTCTACTATGGAAGTGTTATGCATAACTGCACATATATAACCTATATTTAGTTGCTTGCCTTATCAATGAGGGTGGGTAGGGAGGGAGGAAGGAAGAAAATTTGGAACCCAAAGTTTTAAAAACACATGTTTAAAAAAAATGTTTTCACATGCAACTGGGAAATAAGAAATACAGGAAATGGGGTACAGAAATCTATCCTGCCCTACAGGAAAATAGAAGGGGAAGGGGATAAGGGAAGGGGGGGAGAGATAGAAGGGAAGGCAGATTAGGGGAAGGGGTATTCAGAATGCATGCCAACTTGGGGTGGGGGGAGGGGCAAGATGGGGTGAAAATTTGGAACTCAAAATCTTGTGTAAGTAAATGTTGAAAACAAAAAAAAACTGTAAAAAATAAATAATAAAAAAAGATAAGGGAAAAAAAAGAAATGAGAGTGAAGTAAAAAGAAAAGTTGTGCCTAAGATTATTTTTAAAAGAAACTAACACTTTAATTTATGTTAATGGAGGTCCCAGTTATCTGGGCATTAGATCAACTGGACAACTTTCTGCCCCACACCCTCCTGTAAGACATCAACAAAATAAGAAAAAAAAAATTCAAGTTCCAAACTTCTATTGACAAAAAAAAAAAAAATCACATGATTTTCAAGCTACTGCTCAATCTTTAACACTGCAATTGATTTACCTTCATGTACTTGGGCCTCCCTGGGCTTCAGTTTCTTTTATCTGTTCAGGGTCCAACCTAGAGAAACTGCTCAACTGAGCCTACAGGGGCTGGGGAACTCTATCCTCTCCTTTACGCACCCACTCTGGTTTGTAAACCCCTTTTAATAGAAACCTACCTCTGGTGAAAAGGGGAACTTAATTTCCTCACACACATTGGCTAGATCTCTCTCCCTAGAGTCTTGGAGACATTGCTAACTGTGACTCACTAAATCCAGGAATTCCCCCAAAGAAGGAAAATAACCATGGTTGCAATATTAATCAGTTATGGGATAGGTAATTTATTACTACTCACAAAGAAAAATGATAAGCATCAAAGAATAGCTGTTCATTAATATAATACAATATTGCAATGCAATAAACATTTATTATGCTCCTATTATGTGCCAGGCATTGTCCTAAGTGCTGGACAGAAAGGCAAAAGACAGTTCTTGCCTTCCAGGAGCTTACAATATAATGGGGGAGACAACATGCACACAAATATATACAAAGCAAGCTATATACAGAATAAACAGGAAATAATTGAAAAAGAGAAAGCACTGGAATTGAGAGGTATTAGGGAAAGTTTCCCGTAAAGGTAGTATTTTAGTTGGGACTTGAAGAAAGCCAGAGAAGTCAGTTAACAGAAAGATTAGAACAGAATTCAGTAACAATTTATGCCTATGGGTTATAAGGGTTGGTAGGTTAATTTAAGCCTATTCAGAACACAAAGCAGTTTTACAATACTGCTGATAAGGAAAATCACATTTTATTCTGTCTGGGCACTGTCAAATAAAACATCCAAGGTTGGTCAATCTTTCTGTGGACTACCCTCTTCGATACACAAAGTCCTCTCGCCCCTAAAATTGTTCCTGATGCTCCTTCATTTGCAAACCGCTGGAACTTTCTATCTGGGTCACCTAAGGAAATACAAGTATCAGAACTGGTTTTTGAGCCCAGGACCTTGGACTCCAAATCCAGTGTTCTTTCCACTGTGCTATGCTGAAGTTAGAGAGGGTTGCAGACTACAATAATTGAGGTGGTAAAGAATCACTCATCCTTGAAGTTCTGAATTTGCACCATAGTCATGTTGAGTTCAGAGCTGATTCATCTGACATGAGAAAAAAATAATGTGTTATCAATCCTAATGTAATCAAAGGAAAATCTGGCATGCCATTTATTTTTTACCCTTTGTCGGTTTGACAAATATTTGTTGAGGGGCTGAGTGTAGAAGCCTGTAATCCCTGCTGTTGTGGGAGACTGGGGTTGGTGCCTCTGTTAAACTCTGGAGTGCTCATCCGTAGTCTGGCCAAAGCAGATCCCGAGTTTGCACTAAGTCTGGCATCAGTGAGTGTGTATACTTGGATGGGAAGAAGGGGTGTGTGTGGTTGTTGGTGAGGGTTAAGTGGGAGCAGTTGAGGTGGAGTAGGCTTCCTAAGGAAGGGTGACCTAGTTCAGGTTGGAAACAGGGCAGGTTAAAGTTTTGGTTCCAGTCAATATTCAGTGGTGGGGTCAGCCTGTGAATCTTTGCTGAGCTTCCAACCTGGGTAAGATAAAAAACAACAATAGCAAAATACATCAAATGCCTACTGTGTAAAAGGCAAATGTTCTAGGTAGTGGGTTTATAGAAACAAAAATATAACAATACTTTCAAAGAGTTTGTATTCTACTGGGGGGGGGGGATACTACATATGCCCAAGTAAATAAATGCAAAGTATAAGGAAATAATTTCAAAAGAGAATGCTAATAATAATAATAATGAGAATAATACCATTTCTATGGCACATTAAGGTTTGCAAAGCACTTTACATATGTTATTCCATGAGATAATATATAACATTTGGTAATAATATAATAGCAAGGGGAATCAGGAAAGATTTTTTGTTGAAGATGACATCTGAGCTGTATTTTGAAGGAAGCCAGGGATTCTATGAGGTGGTGATGAATAGGGAATGCATTTGAGGTATCGGGTACAACTTCCAGAGTTTTCCAACCTGTGGGGTGTGCCCCTGGGAGGTAAGGGTGGTCTGGACACAGTAGCTCCTACCCCTTATCCAAGCACATACCATGTCCTATACTTGCCTGCCTTGAGGGGGGCTTCTAGGACACAGAAACATGGCAGTCTGGTCAGTGGAGGTCTAGGTTGAAACCTTGAGTACTACAGTACCTACACTCTGCTTGAACTCATTTCCCGATGTTTAGCATATTCCCGACCCCCTCTTATTCTTGTCATCACAATAATACTGAACCCTTGCCAGTAGAAAAGCAAACCTTCATTCCTACCCCTCAAGTGTGACCACCTCTATTGCCATACATTTCAAATCTAGATCCCCTCAATGTCACACTCTAGACTGCCCCACTCTTTTCAATGTATCCTCTGAAGTTCCTACAAAATAACAATTCAAAAAAACCCTTCCTTTCATTAAAAATAGTATTCTGAATTTAACAAAACATTTCCATGTGCAAAGTAGAAAAGAAAAAGAGGATTATGTGTGAAATCTGAATTTTCATTATAGTTTTTTTAAAAATATAACTCCTACATGTTACTTTAAAAGCTGCCCTGCTTATGTTTCCTACTGAACTACCATATTTCACCATATAATCGTTTCACCTTGTTTTTTTCTAGTCCAAAAATTGATTTATAACCTTTTATCACCCAATCATCGCATGGTATAATTCTGTTGGTCACACCACTTAAAAGGTAAACAGAGCAGCAATGTATTCAGCAGTGGCATATGATTGCACATTTATCTGGCCCAGAATTCTCAGTGCAGGCACATTGTCAGTATATTTCCAAAAGCCTATTTGTATGGTTTGTCTTGAGGGGTTTGTTTAGAGCGTTGCAGTACTAATGGTATTACCACTGAACCCAATGAAGACCCATAGATGCAAGGGGAGCAGGTGGGCAGGTGAAGCAGCCATGAGTAAGTCTAGTAATATGGTAGGACTTGCATCTTCCCAGTTTTAACATATATTCACGAGTATTTTGTGCTTCCTAATCTTGCACCAAAGACAATTTAGCAATAAATGATTTTTAATTAATACTGATACAATTTTTAAAAAGCTTCACATAATGGTTGCACCCCACCTTTTTTTGCAAAAAAATTGGCATAAAATCTACAACAGTGATGTGGTGAAATACAGTAAAATTCTGTGCATTTCAAAAAATTTTTCAATGACCTTTTTCTTCTATTTTTTTGCCGACTGTCTCTAGCTCGTTCCCTCTTCCTATTGAGTCCCCAGCCCCCCAAAAGGACTGCTTTCACAGTCCCTGCAATGGCATTGTTGAGAAAAACAAATCCACACATTTACCATGTCCAAATATGTGTGTCCAGTTTTGTCCATCATCATGGATATCAGTCTTACATGAAATGGGTAGCATGCTTCTTCTTCTCTTTTTTTTTTTTTGGCAATTGGGGTTAAATGACTTGCCCAGGGTCACACAGCTAGTAAGTGTCAAGTGTTTGGTCTGAGACCAAATTTGAACTCAGGTCCTCCTGACTTAAGGGTCAGTGCTCTCTCCACTAGGGCACCTACCTGCCCCAGTAGCATGCTTATTCATCAGCCCTGACTTCCTTTCGGTTTATATCATCTGTTCCATAGAGGGGAAGGTACAGCCTCAGCAGGGGCAGGAGGGACTAAGAAAAACGGCATTTGAGCTTAGTCTCATATGATGCCAGAAATTCTAAGAGGCAGAGATGAGGAAGGTAAGCGTTCCAGGCATGAAGGACAACCAGCCAATACAAAAACTTGGGAGATAAAAGATGGAGTATCTTGTGTGAGAAATAAATAGGCTAACATGTCTAGATCAGAGAGGGCATGGAAAGGAGTAATGTATAAGAAGACTGGAAAAGGAGGAAGGGGCCTATGTTGTGAAGGACTATACATTACAAAGGACTTTACGTTAGATCCTGAAGGCAACAGGCAGAGGATGGAGCTTATTGAGTAGGAGAGGGATATGGTCAGGCTTACATTTCAGAAAAATCACTTTGACAGCTATGTGGAGGGTTGATTATGGTGGAGAGACTTGAAGCAGGCAGAGCAATTAGTCCAATGTTCTAGGATGGTGAGATCTGAAAAAGTTAACATACGTAAAGTGTTTTGTAAACATTAAAGTGATATATAAATGCTCCCTATTGTTATTATCCTAGAGGAAATAAAAAGCCATTTAAGATTTTCCAGTAGAGGCGGGGGTTGGGGGGTGGGTGGGGTGGGGTGTGTGTGTGTGTGTGTGTGTGTGTGTGTGAGAATTCATCCTTTTTATCAAAACTCTTCGAAGAAAACCTCCCTATTGAAAATGCACTCAGGAGGCAAGTGATCAGTATTGTTAAGTACACCGATCACAGCACTCCAGTGCGCTTCACAAGCCGAGTCATCTGCAGGCTTTGATAAGCCAACTCTGAACTGGGAACCTCTTGAGCGGAGCGCCAGGATGGGGGCGGAGCGATGGCTACGTGATGGCTGCGCGCCTGCGTCACCGTGCGCCGCTCGGAGGCGGGGTTTCGGGATGCAGACCAATCACATGGGGGCCGCGGTATTTTTGAGTGGTCGGGCAGGCCCGAGGCCGGCATTCAACCCCTTTCTCCGTGTTGAGCTTACAGTACTAATGGAACTGCGGTCAGTGGCTCCCTTGCTCCGGCCTCGGAGGCCCTTTTTGTCGACATGAGCGGCAGGCCTAGGACCCTCTTCCAGACATGGGGCTCCAGGGTCACTCGTTCTGTTCGTTCCTCCTCCGGGGGCGGCTCCGGAGCCGGGCGGCCGCAGGGCCTCGCCGGCTTCGGGGCCTGCGCCCCGGCCGCGGTGGAGCAGCCGGAGCGGATGCCGGAGCCGCCGGAGGAGGACGATGAAGTGCTGCTGGTGGCGGCCTACGAGGCCGAGCGGCGTTCGGGCGGCGGCGAGAGCCCGGCCTCTCCTGGGCCCCTGGAGGCCTGCGGCTTTTGCCCCGCGACGGGAGCCGTGTGGATCTATCCCACCAATTTCCCGGTAAGGGAGTACCAGCTGCGCATCTCGGAGGCAGCCCTGTTCTGCAACACCCTGGTCTGCCTGCCCACCGGGCTGGGGAAGACCTTCATCGCCGCCGTCGTCATGTACAACTTCTACCGCTGGTTCCCCGCTGGCAAGGTGGTCTTCATGGCCCCCACGAAACCCTTGGTCGCGCAGCAGATCGAGGCCTGCTCCCGGGTGATGGGCATCCCGCAGCGCCACATGGCCGAGATGACAGGTATTCCAGAGGGGCTGGGGGCGTCAGGGGGCTGGGAGGGCAGGTCCTCACCGAAATAGTGTCGTGTTCCTCTCAGAATACAGCTCTCCTTACCCCTACCCCTTCACTGAGGTTAGCCCTTCCCAGGGCATCCAATACACTCAGCAAGTATTTATTAAGCGCCTACTATATGCGTTCAGCCAACATTTATTAAGCGTCTAAATACCAGGCACCGTACCAAGCTCTGGGGATGCAAAGAAGGTCAAAAAAACAGCCCCTGTCTTCCAAGAGCATATGCTCTAAGTGGGGAGATAGCAAGCAGACAGCTATGTTCATATATACAGGATAAATTGAAGATAATCTCATAGAGAATGCACTAGCATGAAGGAGGAACAGGAAGGATGCATGACTTGTAATAATAGCTGACTTTATATAGTACCTTTTACGTTGTTTCACTAGCTCCTCACTGCCTCCTTGTTGTGATGTAGGTAACCAAGTAGTAGTATCTCAGTTTTACAGATTTGGAAATAGACTATGAGGTGAAGTTACTTGCTTAAGTCCACACAGTAGTGAAAGGGAAGATTCTGCCTCCAGATCCAGAAGAAAGCTATCAAATCTATAGCTAACCTGATTATAAATAGGTAGTGGTGATGGTGGTGAGTGGGAATGGTGATGCCTTATTTCTGCCTCAAAAAAACCATACCCAAACCATAGCTTTTTGATGCCTAAGATACCTAGAAGAGATCATGATTTCAGCTTAGATTTACCTTGGTCAGCTTAATATATGTATGTTGTGACTTTAGATTTCCATTCACCATGTTTATAAATGAAAATGAACTTTTAGGCTTTTTCCTTTGTCAACATTGCTTTTAGTTATTTTGACTCTTTTTTAATGTCTTATTCTTATCAGGTCTTTTATTCCTCTTATGTAACAGGTACTTTGACATTTAGGCTCTGATGTGGAGCTTTGAGATCAAGTCAAATTGAAAGCCGGTTAACAAAGAAAAAAATTCACTGTGAAAAATGGGCTAATTTTTTCCATATTTTATGAAGTGTAACAATTTAGAATCTTACTTGTTCTTATTTTTGCAGGTTCTACCCAAGCTTTCATCAGGAAGGAAATATGGCACAATAAAAGAGTTCTTTTTCTTACTCCTCAAGTTATGATAAATGACCTTTGTCGTGGAGCCTGTCCTGCTGTTAAAATTAAATGTCTAGTTATTGATGAAGCTCATAAAGCTCTTGGAAACTATGCTTATTGTCAGGTAATGATTCTGTTAGTATTTTGAGGTCATAATCATCAGATTGCGTAGTGGATAGAAATGCTCTAATATGGACACATTTTGGAGGTATGACGGCTGGGCCAGTCTTAACCATTTTCTGGCCTGCCACCATGTCTTACCCTCATCCCCACCTTTCCCCTTTTCTCTGGGACTATAATCATTACTAACTAATCTGGAAAGCATGTGTCAATTGACTGCTGTGTTGTTCTGACTCAGTCTTTGTGACATCTCAGTCCAAAATTCCTTTTTCTAGCTACTAGTCCAATGTGATGTCTCTACCATTATAGTATAAACTCTCTGAGAGCAGAGATAGTCACTATTGTCTTGGTATTCCCCTGACCACTGAGGGACTTTGGGATTTTGCTTATTGGCAGCTGCAAGCCTTGCTAATAAATGATCATGTTTAGAAACTTTGTGCCTCAGTCTCTCTTCATTACAGATTTTTATTTCGACAGCACTATACTTGGCCCATGCTAATCCATGGAGTTCCTAATAGAATTCCTAATTAGGACTAATTGGTAATTAAGAATAATTGTTGAAACCCTATATTGTCTCTTGAGTTTGGACTATAAGCTTAAAATAGCTTTTCTCATAACCCTATAACCTTCTGAGGCTACCCATTGTCTATGGCATAATCTGGCAATAATTTAGGATGAATTGGATAGATGGACAGAATGAAGAAAGGGAGATCTGTTAGCAAAATATATGTACTGTATAGAAGAGTATGTGATTGATTGTAGTGGGAATTAAGAGGAATGTTTGGATGTAAAAGCAGAATTTGTACTTTCTGAGCTATGTAACCTACTTTTAAAAATCATAAGCAACAATTTTGAAATCAATTTACTTAATTTTGAGTAAAAATTGATTGTTAAAAGTTGACATTTTTCAGTTGCATTTAAAGTAATCATTTTATGATGTGGGTTCTGAGCTCCGTACTTTCTGGTATAGCTCTTCAAAAACCACTAACTCAACATGCCAAAGTATTGATGAGATTAAAAAGCAGAAAGAGTTTTAAAGGACTTGGAAAAGTCATTGGAAAAGAAAATGAATGGAATGACAAAGAGAGTTTACCTTGCTTTTTAAATTCACAGTTCCTATACATTTTAGCTCCTTGTTTGAGGCCCACAATATCTGAAGGTTTGTCTTAAGGGCTCTGAAGTTTGATAGGTGTGTGTTCATTTCTGCTTTATGCTTATAAATACTTTCTTTTCAAAGAATTTTAAGTTGTGAAAGAGTATGTTCTGTGTAACTGCTGAGATAAATCAGACCATTTATTTGGAAATATATATTTATCAAGAAATAATTGTATTAAATATTCAGAATTGGGCATTTGTCCTTAAAAACTGAGCTCATGGGGCAGCTAGGTGGTGTAGTGGATAGAGCAGCAGCCTTGGAATCAGGAGACCTGATTCAGATCTGGCCTCAGACACTTAACACTAGCTGTGTGACTCTGGGCAAGTCACTTAACCCCAGTTGCCTAACCAAAAAAACCAAAACCCTCTCAAAAAACTGAGCTCAGTTTGTTCTTCAGACATCATCTTGAGAGAATGTATATTTATTTGATAAGCTGGCATTTTCATATTTTACTTCTCACTTAAATACTTATAAGGGCCTGTGATTTCATCATCACCCTTTCTGACAGGTAACAACCTTTCTCACTTAGTATATAGTATTTGAGAGTTATGGTTGAAAAATTCATTACTGTTTGCCAACCTGATAATGAACCTCTAAATTTAGTTAAGTTGGTCCTCAGATGCTGGGCCCATCCATACCTAATCCTTCTAGTTTGGTAGGATATATCAGAGTTTGTGTTCTGCAGGTATAATAACCTTCAAGAACCTAGAGTCACTACACTACCTTCCACACCCTAAATGAAACATTGAGAACAGAACTTTAATATACTTTATATTTAAATTCTTTGATTATATTCTGGAATTGATAGTGTTTTGACTTCTGTGCCAGTAGACCTAAATACAGGATGTTAATATTTGTTATTTTTCAAAAATTAGTACTTGTAAATGAAAGGCAAGACTGACATTAATGCTCACTTTTTTTCTTTAAAAGCTCAAGTAATTCAGTGTAATTTTCTCATGTATCTGTTTAGTGTCCCAAAAGAAATGTGATATTTGGAAAATTAGTGGTGGTACTTGTGCCAGATATCTAGAAAAACATGAATGGGACAATGAGTGCCAAGTACAGGGTTTGAATATTAGGCATGGGTTTGATTATTAATATAAGACATTAGCCTACTATCTGTCATCATTACATTTAAGTAAAAAACTACATATACTTAAGATGCTATTTGCAAAGGTTTTTTGGGGGGTGGTGGTGAGGAAATTGGGGTTAAGTGATTTGTCACACAGCTAGTAAATGTTAAGTGTCTGATCTGTGACTGGATTTGAACTCAGATCCTCCTGACTCCAGGGCCGGTGCTGTATCCACTGTGGGTTTTTTTTTTTTAAATAAATGTTTGTTTAATTACATATACTCAAAATATTTTTTCCAGGTGGTAAGGGAACTAGTTAAGTATACGAAGCACTTTAGAATATTGGCTCTCAGTGCCACACCTGGCAGTGACACAAAGGTAAGTTTGATGATTTTTCCATTTAATAAAAACATAAATACATAAGAACTGCCATCCATGATTCATCCAGCCCATAATAGTGGCATCAGGGAACATATGAATAGCCATGATCATCTTATATTGAAAGTGTACAAAGATTATGGAAATATCCCCATACATTACTAATTTCCCTAAATAATTTGTTGCCACAACTATGAATTAATCTATCGTGTACCTTAGCCAATTTATTTTTTGCCTGTGCCACCACTGTTTTAAAATGTTAATATTTAAACTATTTTATTGACGACGTAGCTCCTGCCTTGAAGGTTCTACCTTTGCTTTTAAAAATAACTCAGATACAACCTACTCCATGAAGCTTTCCCCAATCTCTTTGAGCTGGTATCTTTTTACCCAGGACAATAGTTTTTTAATTCTCTCCTTTTGGGGGCTTTGTCTCTTCATAAAGGTTATGCATTTATATACCAGGAAGGGATATTATTCAACTGTTTAAAATTAGAGACAACCAAGTTTCAAATAGTTATATTAATATTTACTTATTAATAATTTCAAATGATTATAACTGCTCCTGAGTTATGGGAGAACTACTTCACTTTTTTAAAGGCTGTAGGATTAGGCAACTGGCATTCTGAAATAGTGATATTAGAAATATAACCAATATTGTGTTATGTTAACTCAGTGACAGAATAAGAGATTTCACATTTCACTTTTAAACACAGCAAGTGGTGTATTATCACAACTCAGTATTACAGCTGACTTTCAAGTAAGCCTGTGCTGACTGATATTGACAATGTCAGATTTGTACCTGTACCTGTAGTACATACTATATTAAATGATTTATATGCTATATTCCCTGTTAGTTGGAGATATGGGAACTGTACCCAAAAAATATCTGATAATTTTTGTCATTGCTTTGCATTTTTCCCCATCCTCTATCCCCCCCAAAACAAACAAACAGAGTAGGGGGAGGAGGAAGAATATTTTTTGAAAACTTCTTCCTCCACTATAATATACTATTTCTGGTATACTTATTTTTAAATCATATTTCTATTGATATATTTTGGTTTTAAATCACTTTTATTTTCTACTGTATCCAGGGAGGCAGCATACTATAGTTGAAAGAACTCTGACTCTGTAGTCAAAAGAGCTGGGTTTGAATCCCATTTCTGGTGCTTTACTGAATCTGTGACCTTGAAAGTCACTTAACCTATTTGGGCGTGTTTCCTTATCAGTAAAATGAAGGGATTAGTCTAGAGGGCTCTTGAGATCCCTTCCTGATCAGACCTAAATCTGTGATTCTGTGATCCTTCCCTCTTCCCCTTATCTAGCCATTCCTTGTAACAGATGTAAAAAGACAGATGAATAAAAGAGTAGTTTATCAAAATCAATCAACTCATCAATCTGGTACACTTTTATAGATTTGATAACTGATCCTTAGGGTGGGTTAGGTCATCAGCATTCTAAAAGTGAGAAATGTCAATGTTTTGAAAAACCACTTTTGGTTTCTGATGGTGGTATCAATCTTTTAAGAGCATTTTAAATCTGGCTATAATTTAAATTTGCTACTTTTTGACTTTTTGTTGTTGCTCTGAAGCCAACTTAACCTGTCTTCTTGAGTTGCCATATTTTCCAGAGACATTGGACAGGGGTGTGTGGAAGGCCAAGGTCAAGGATGACCTCCCCCGTCCCACCCAGCTGACATAATTTGTTATTTGCACCTGTAGCTGAACTCTTACAGTGTGACCTTGAGGGTTTAACCAGCTATAAGAAAGGTACCAGTCAGTCTGCACCCGACTGGTAAACTGTGCAGCTGGGACCCTTGTAGATAAGCAGATCATCATGTCTTCATAGTTTAGCAGTTCCCAAGGGAAAAGGTTGCTGCTTTTGCCATCTTACTTACTCATGTTCCTTTTTCCTTTTTTCCACCTTTCTTCTCCCCTCCAACAGGGTAATTAATCTTTTCCCTACTCCTACTCTGCTCCCTTCCTCATCTCTTGTCACACCTGCTTGGGAAGGGATTGTCCTTCACTTCTCCCCACCTTGTTGCAACTCATAAATATGTGAGCTTCTGCCTGAATTGTGAACTCCTTCATACTTGGTATAGTTATTCCATATGCATGTTCATTTCTCTTGTAATAAATCCAGTTTCAATGCACGTCTCATGGACTTTTGATTTTTTTTTTGTTAACGTTATATAGGCTGTACAACAGGTTGTTTCAAACCTACTAATTGGGCAGATAGAGCTTCGTTCTGAAGACTCTTCAGATATTTTGCCATTCACTCATGAAAGACAAATTGAAAAACTTGTTGTTCCCCTTGGAGAAGAACTTGTAACAATTCAGAATACATATATACAGGTAAGTGATTTTTTTGTGACCGTTAAACTCCTAAATTTCTGTTATGTGACATCTTCATTGGTTTTTCGTTTATTGTTTAGCTTTGAAAAATTTTTTTTTATTAAGGAATTTAAAAATGATTAACAAACACATTCCAATATACAAAGAACATAAAAAAGATTATATATGAAATCATGAGCTTCTCGTTGTGTACTTTGTTTTTTTAAGTGCTTATTAAATTTAATAAATAACATTGCTTATTTTTTGTCTTTCTGAACTTTTTGTTTCCTTCTGTCTAATCTCTGTCACTTCTCACTAATTCACTTCCTTATTCCCTCATAGAGGCCCTACCTTATAAAAGATAAGCATGATCAATCGACATATTAGCTATGTAAAATATGTTTGTACCGTAGTCCTCTAACTCTAGTTGTTGTCTCTCTTGCCAAAATGTGAGAAGTGTGCTTCAGTCTTCTAAAGTCATGACTGGTCATCATATTGATCAGATTTCTAGTGTAAATGAAAACACCTTTGAAATATATTATTATCGTCATGGAAATTGTTGTCCTGCTACTTACTGCACTCAGCATCAGTTCATATAAATCTTCCTGGGTTTCTCTGAATTCCTATTTGTCATTTCTCATAACATAATAATATTCCATTAGAATACCATGATTTGTTTAGCCATTTCCAAATTGGTGGGCATCCACTTTGTTTCCCATACTTTGCTAAGACAAAAAAATATCACTGTATCATATTTTTGTCCTTTTCCCCTGTCTTTGATTAGTACTGGTGTGTGTGTGTGTGTGTGTGTGTGTGTGTGTGTTAGGGACTTTTTGAGGCAGAGGTCAAAATTCTAGAGAGGCTGTAATTTCTTAGCTCCATCCAAACATTACTGTGCTTGCACTGTCTCAACCCCTCTAACAATTGTCATTTTCCTTCTTTTGCCATTTTTCTAGTTTTAACTTCATTGGATTTTTTTTTTTTTGGTGAGGCAATCGGGGTTAAGTGACTTGCCCAGGGTCACACAGCTAGGAAGTGTCAAATGTCTGAGGCCAGATTTGAACTCAGGTCCTCCTGACTCCAAGGCCGGAGCTCTAACCACTGAACCACCTAGCTGCCCCAACTTCATTGGATTTTTGAGGGCGTTTTTATGTAGATGTTAACATTGGGGAGGAGAGAAAGATGTTGAGCCAAGTGCTGAACCCTGTAGAAAGGAGGGAGAAGGAGCTGGGGGCTCAGTGTTCTACAGCTACCATAGAGAATTGGATTGGATAGAAAATTTTAATTGTGTGGACTTCAACAGAGGAAAGGTTACTGAGTGAAGGAAGCAAAAGAATGAATGTGGAAGTGACAGTGGGGAGCAAAGAGTGTTCTGACTCTCCCTCATGGACCAATAAGAGTGATGGACTGATTCTGGAGAGGACAGCCAGGCATGCTGTATTGTTAGAGGACTTAGGTCTCACCAAAGGCCAGTAGTTGGAAAGAATGTGAGAGAAAGAGGTCCAGGATGAAGGGGAGTTTGTTCACAAATAGGAATTTCAGAAAGTACATTGAAAGAGTCTGGAAGGTTGGGAGTGGGAAACGGGTAGTGCTGGATGGAGGGGCACAGGGTCAGAGAAATGAGGAGGGGAAAGGGATTCGTTTTCTCCTAAATGTTTACTGATTACTTATTACAGGCATAGGGAGAGAAGCAGGAGAAATCATAGGGGCAGTAATGGATTACTGATGGAGAAAGGGGCTCACAATTTCCAAATAGGGAGAGTTGGGCTGGTTCTGTTTGTTCCTTCACCTGGAAGCTGGTAGAGGGGAGCCTAGCATTGGTGGGGAGGGGAAGAGAAGTTGGCAGTGGTTCTATTTCCAGCATCCTTCCACCTCTCACTCTGGCTAGCAGACGATGTGGATGGTCTTCCTCTATCCTTAGAGTAAGCTGATAGAGGGGAAAGGTGGGAAGGGGAATGAGAACATCTAGGTGGATAACAAAGAATACTGGTTTTAAGTTTCATTCGTTATGTATTACGAGCAGAGTGTGCCGGAGGCTGGTTCTGTGCAAGGCCTGTGGCCTCTGGGGTACAGGTGCCTCCGTGAGAACTTTTCCATAGGTAAAGAAGAACAAAAAAGAAAATGGACATGAAGACATTGTATCTCTTAGTAGGCATTTATTGAGCACCTGTTGTGTTGCCATGCACTGTACTAAATGCCAGGGATACAAAGAAAGGCAAAAGATAGTTCCTACTCTCAAAGAGCCCAGTCTAATGAGGACATGGTATGAAAACAATATGTGTGAATAAGATACACACATATAAACCTGGGTGTATGTGTGAGTGTGTGCACATATATGTGTATGTGCATACATTATATGTACATCTGTATGTGCATATGTGATAATTCAGAGATAATCAACAGAGGGGGTCACATTAAAGAGGAATCAAGAAAGGCTTCCCATAGGAGATGGAATTTTAACTGGGACTTGAAGCCGGGGGAGATAGGTGGAAATGAGGAGAGATGCTCTTTTGGGCATGGAAGGCAGCTATTGAAAATGACTGGAGACTGGTGATGGAGTGTATTGTGCAAGAAGAGCCAGAAGGCCGGTGTCCCTGGATTACAGCATATATGGTGAGGAGTAAGGTTTAAAAAGGCCGGATAGGGTGGAGGGTGCCAAGTAGTAGATTCTATATTTATTCCTGGAGCTGATAGGGAGCCAGTGGAGCTGATTGACAGGGTCATTTGGAAGGGTGACATGGTCAGACCTGCATTTTAGGCAGATTAATTTGATAGCTGAGTAGAGGATGGATTGGAGTGGAAAGAGACTTGAAGCAAGGAGACCAACCAATAGACTGTTGTAATAGATAGTCAAGAGGGGCAGTTAGGTGGTACAGTGGATAGAGCTCCAGCCTTGGAGTCAGGAGGACCTGAGTTCAAATATGGCCTCAGACACTTGACACTTACTAGCTGCGTGACCCTGGGCAAGCCACTTAATCCTGATGCCTCGCCAAAAAAACAAAACAAAAGTAATAGCTAGTTAAGGTGATGAGGGCCTGCACGGAGGTGGTGGCAGTCAGAGGAGAGAAGGGGACATATATGAGAGATGTTACAAAGGTAGAAATGTCAAGACTTGACAAATGATTAGATGTGAGGGGGTGGGGTGAGAGAAAAGTAGGAGTTGAGGATGACACCTGGGTGGCAAACCTGGGTGATTGAGGGATGGGACATCCTTCAAAGGGTGGGAGGTTATTTTTTTTCTTAGTATATAATAAGTTTAACATGCTAGTACCAACACTGTCCTGCTTTTCTGTTGTACTTAACTTCTATGGCTACTTTAATTATTGTCTGTGTTTACTTGAAAATATTAAATGTTTGTTTTAATTGTATCTCACACTTAAATTGAATCAACCTTAGAGTAAGAAAATTGGTGAGCATATATGAAAGTGAGGTCATAATATGTCTAAATTATATTTAGCAAATACGTCTTTATATAAATTTTTCTTTAATCTACAGGTTTTGGAAGCATTTGCTAATCGCTTGATTAGAGTTAAGGTTCTGATGCGACAGGATATACCCAACCTTACAAAATTTCAGATAATTTTAGCAAGAGATCTATTTAGGAAAAACTCATCTCCTCATATTCTGGTAAGTGTTTTTAAAATAAATTATAAAATGATGAACTGATTTTTCCTCTTGGTGCCAGGATGATGTATAAACATAGTGATTTTTGCTTTAGAAATCATATCAGCAAGGGGCAGCTGGGTGGCACAATGGATAGAGCACCGGCCCTGGCATCAGGAGGACCTGACTTCAAATCTGACCTCAGAGAGATGATACTAGCTGTGTGACTTGGGCAAGTCACTTAACCCCAATTGCCTCGCAAAAAAAAAAAAAAAAAAAAAAAAAGAAAAATCACATCCTCAGGAAATGAGTTAGGATTTAAATAGATGCTGAAGATGTACGAAGACAACTAAAATGGTTTCATGTTCTCAGTTCAGTTTTAAATTTAAACTTTTATCTTTCTTTACCAAATCAGTGCTTTTGTATAGTCAATAAACTAAGTACAATGAGATCTTGGATTTTGTATCTTTTAGGCAATTTGGCACTAGTAAATACATAGTCTGTGTGTGAGAGCATGTCTTTCTGACTGTGTCTGTGTGTGGGTATATATGTGTTTATATGTATATATATATATGTATGTAGAGGGAGATGTTCCAATGGACATAGTTGGAAGTACACTTATACTATGTAAGACAGACATTCCAGACGGACACTGTTTTAGTCCCAAAATTGAAAAAGCAAAGGGAGAACAGGAAGGATTGCATTTGGGAAACTGCAAAGTTGTTTTAGTGACTCCTAGTTTCTCCCTGAAACAAAGGCCCATCTTTTTAACACCAATGTTCTTCTGATGATACTATATGGCTGTGAATCATGAATACCACGGTCTCTGAAAATTCCTAAATATTAAAAAAATTGAAGTTTTTGAAGAAATTACAATGCAAAGGTGCCTGGTTGGTATATTAAGCTACAGCACATTAAAACAGAGAAGCATTTAAGAAATGTATGGTTGAACAAGATGATATGCAAGAGTGAGAAATAACCAACTGACAGTCACTGTATTTTATTGGGATCCTCATGATGACATGTTGAGGAAACCCATGTTGCAAACTTATGTGATGACATTAATAAATGTCCCATAGAATAGGAAGGTATGTATGAATTGCAGTCTGTATCAGTGGAAAGAATACCCATGGCAATGAGCTAACAGGCCCCATGGAGTATTAGAGATCTTTCACTAAACAAGTATGCTTTAGCCTAATAAATACCAAAATATTCATAGCAGCACTTTTTGTGGTATCATATGGGTATGTGTGCCCATCAGTTGTGGAAAGCCACATAAATTGTGCTTTATAATGTAATGGGCCATAGTGCAGTAAGAACTGATGGATGGGGGAATTCAATGAAACATGGAAAATCACAGAAGGAGGAAGAACCCATGGCAAGCCATTCAGTTTTTGGACAGCTCTAATTTCTAGGAAGCTTTTCCTCATAGCAAGCCTAAATTCGTCTCTTTTCAGCATCTAGCCATTGCTCCTATTTCTGCCCATTGAGGTCAGAGTAAATTTAATCCTTCCTCCATGTGGCGATCCTATGGATATGTGAGCAGATCTATCATGTGTCCTGAGTCTTCTTTTCTCCAGGTTAGCTATTCCCAGTTCCTTCAATTGATCTTCATATGTAATGAACGTAAAGTTTTTCCACCATCCTGGTTGTCTTTGTCCGAACATTCTCAGATTTATCAGTGTCTTCTTAAGTCACGGTTCAAAATCAGATGTAGGAGGGAAAACAAACAAGGAGGTCAAACAAAGGAGGGAAAAGTTTCATAAATCCCAAAATGTTTATAGCAGTGTTTTTGTTGTGCCAGGAAGCAAAGCATTGGTGGGACTGGAGGTGGGGGAGTGGTTGTTCATTGATCATGAAACAGCTGAACAAATAATCTTATGTGAATTAAAGTGAATATTATTGCAACGTAAGATACTATGAATAAGCACATTCTAGAGAAACTTGGGAAGACATGTATGAAGTGATGCAGTAGGAAGAAAGCCAAACCCAGGGAAACATGATGACCACATAAAGGAAAACAAAATTAAATGATAATACAGTAATCTTGATTTCAGAGGACTGATGATGGAGCATACGTCACTCCCTACCAATAGGCTACAGATATGCGTTGATGCATACTGGTTTATTTTGCTTTACTGTTGCCTTTTGTTACGGGTCAGAGTTCTGTGCAGTTGGGGATTATACAAAAGTGATAGTGAAGAAAAATAAAAATTCAAACAAAACATAAAAAGTAAAAAATATGAGAAGAGCTGTTAGTACTGATCAAGTATACGTAGAGGAAGTCTGTACTAGAGATCATATAATTTTGGCGCTCCCACCCTTCACCCCTTTCAAAATCATGATGAGAATAATTTATTCTCTTCTCACCTGTCTGACTATTCCTTCTGTATCTCCTTTCTGGATCATCCACCTCAGACCCAATAACCAGGAGCGGACTCTTCACCACCTTATACAGAAAATTGAAATGCCAATGTGAGCTGAATTTCATAAGCCTGCTTTGATCTTCTCTTGCTCAGATCCAGGCCTCCACAGCTGTGCTCAGCCATCTTTACTCTATAGTTTGTGTATGGGAGTGGTCCCCTTTCCCTCATGTGACTTCTCCATTAAGATGTAAGATCCTTGAGGGTAGGAACTGTCTTGCTTGCTTATATTTGTATCTCTAGCACTTAGCACAGTGCCTGGCACATAGTAAGTGTTGAATACATTCCTATATAAGGGGTTCTTCATCTTTTTGATGTCATTGACCCCTCTGACAGTCTGGTGGAGCCTATGAAACCATTCTTAGAATAGTGTTTTTCAAAGGAAACCAATCATATTGAAATAATACAGTTATCGAAACATTATAAGAACAAGTTCATGGACCCGAGTGTAAGAATCCCTGCAATTTATTTATCTTGATTTTCTTTATTTTTAAATTCAGTTTTAAGTTCTGAATTTTCTTTCTCCCTCCTCTCTCTTCCTCACCCAGTGAGAAGGCAAGAAAAATTAAGCCGATTACAAATGTGTAGTCATGTAAAACAAATGCCTACATTAATCATATCCAAAAGAACGCAAAGGAGATAGGCTTTAGTCTGCATTCTGAGTCTATGAGCTCTGTATCTGGAGGTGGATAGCATGCTTTATAAGTCTTTTGAAATTGTGATTGGTCACTTTGTTTTTTGGTTTTTTTTTTTTTTTTCAGACAATTGGGGTTAAGTGACTTGCCCAGGGTCACACAGCTAGTGTCCAGTGTTTGGTCTGAGGCTGGATTTGAACTCAGGTCCTCCTAACTTCAGGGCCAGTGCTCTATCCACTGTGCCATCTAGCTGGATCACTTTGTTGATTAGAGTTACTAAGTCTTTTGAAGTCGATTATCTTTATAATATTGTTATTGTAGAAATTGTGCCTCTAGTTCTGCTCTCTTTACTTTGCATCAATTCATACAAGTCTCCTATATTTTTCTGAAACTATCACTTTCTTCATTTCTTACAGCACAATAGTATTCCATCACATTCTTATAATATGTTTAGCCATTTCCAAATTAATGGGTATCACCTTAGTTTCCAATTCTTTGCAACTACAAAATGATATTCTATAACTATTTTTGTATATATGGATCCTTTTTATTTTATTTTTTTTTTGTTTTGGGGTATATACCTTTGTAGTATTGCTAGGTCAAAGGATATGCACAGTTTTTTTGGGTGTAGTTCCAAAATGCTTTCTGGAATGGGTAAATGAGTTCAGGGCTCCTACATCAGTGCATTAAAGTCCCTGTTTTCCCACACCATTTTGACACAGCATTGGTCATTTTCTTTTCTTTTTTTTTTTGTCAACTTAGCCAATCTTTTTGTTGTGAGGTAGTACTTCAAGAGTTATTTTAATTTGCTTTTACCAGATTATTAGTGCGTTAGAATATATTTTCACATGGCTATTGATAGCTTTGATTTCTTCCTCTGAAAACTGACCATCTGTCAGTTGGGGAATGACTCATATTCTTATAAATGTGACTCAGTTTCCTGTGTATCTCATAAATGAGACCTCTATTAGAGAAATATCTATTGCTTTTCAGCATATCAAAGAGGGAAATATTTTGAATCGTTGGAAAAAGTAATGGACCTAAAATAGCTAGCATTTACGTAGCATCTTATATACATTATCTCATTTTATGTTCACGACAATCTTGTGAAGTAGGTGCTATTATTATCATCTCCATTTTACAGATGAAGAAACTTAGGCTTAGAGGTTAAGTGACTTGCCTAGGTTCACATAATTAATAAGTGTCAAGATTCAGACTCATGTCTTTATGACTTAAGTCCAGGACACTCTATCCACTGTGCCGTCTAACTTCCTCTGAAAGGACATTATAACATACTGGTGTTACTGAGAAAATACTCAATAATTATTGAACCTGTATCCTACTTTGTTGTCTCTCCAAAATCTTGATGAGAATAATTTATGTGAGGGAATTCTTGATGAAAATATGGAAAAGGAACTGGCACACAGACTGAAAGAAGAAGGCTTATAAGATTCTCCTGTAATTGTTGTTTATTGACTATGAGAAAACACTTCATTTAATAGAGCAATATGAGTACCTTAATGGTACTTGTGGGCAGATACTGTATAGGAAGATTGAGTGCAGAATTCAGATTGAAGAGGGATTTTCCATATGTGTAGTCAGCTAGTATTTATGAAGCCCTAGTATGTGACAAGCACTGTGGATGCAAAGAAAGGCAATAAACAGTCCCCGCTCTCAAGAACCTTACAGTCTTATGGGGCAGACAACATGTAAGCAACTATGTACAAGCAAGAAACATACAGCGTACATTGAGGCGATCTCAGAGGAAAGACATGAAGGTTAAGAAGAACTTGACAAGGCTTCTTGCAGAAGGTGGGACTTTTGCTGAGACTTGAGGGGGTAGAGTGCTCCGGACCAGCTAGTGAAAAATGCTCCAAATCAAGAGATGGAATGTCTAGTGTGAGAAACTGGCCAATGTCACTGATCACAGAGTATAGGAGGGGGAGTTGGGTATAAGAAGACTGGAAAGGTAGGAAGTGGCAATGTAATGAAGGGCTTTGAAATCCAAAGAGGATTTTATATTTGTTCCTGAAGGTGATGGGATGTCATTGGACTTGATTGAATAGGGGTGGCAACATGGTCAGACCTTTAAGAAGTTCAGTTTGACAACTAAGTGGAAGATGGACTGGAGTGATGAAAAAATTGAGGCAGCAAAACCAGCCAGGAGACTATTGCAGTAGTCTAGGTTTCAGGTGATGAGGGCTTGCAACAGAGTGGTGGCCATGTCAGAGAAGAGAAGGGGGGTGGTATGCAAGAGATGTTGTAGAAGGTGGAAATGACAGGACTTGACAACTGATTTGATATGGGGGGAGGTAAAAAGAAATGGGTGGGTGATTGGGGGGAGGGGGAAGATTAGGAAAGATCTACAGAAGGTGGGATTTGAGCTGAGTCTTGAAGGATGTAAGAGAGGCAGTAGGCAGAGCTTAGGAGGGAAAGCATTTTAGGCAAGTGGGGGATAGGTAGTGACAAGACAGAGTTGGGGAGAGTAGAAGAAAGTAAAGTACATGGAGGATAGTAAAGTGTAAGAAGACAAGAAATATATGAAGGGGCAAGGTAGTGAAGGGTTTAAAATTCCAAACAGAGCATTTTATATTCAATCCACTGTAGTTCATTCAGTAGGGGAGTGAAACGGTCAGATTTGTGCATTAGGAAGATCATTTTCATAGCTGAGTGGAAGATGTGCTGGTGTGGGTAAAGACTTCAGGCAAAGAGACCAGTTAGGTTATTTCAGTAGTCCAGATGTGAGACGATGAGGGCTTGTACTAGGGTTGTGGCAGTGTCCGAGGAGATAGGAAACATATACAAAAGATGTTACAAGACTGCAGCAGATTAGGTATGTGTAATGAATGTGAGCGAGGGGTTGATGATGACACCGTTTGTGAGCCTTGGTGCCTGGGAGGATGGTGGTGCTCTTGACAGGAATAGAGAAGTTGGGAAGAGGGGTGTGTTTGAAAGGAAAGATAATGAGTTCTGTTTTGGTCATATTGAGTTTTAGGGGTCTTTGGGACATCTAATTCTAGATAGGCAGTTGGACGTATGAGACTGGAGGTTGGGAGAGAGGTTAGGGCTAGACAAATAGATCTGATTAGAGATGATAATTGAAACCATGGGAGCTAATGAGATCATCAAGAGAAATAAAATAGAGGGAGAAGAGAAGAGGGTCCAGGATGGAACTTTGGGGGCACCCATGTGCTTATCAGGAGTGATATAGATGAAGATGCAGAAAAGGAGACTAAGAGGGAGTGGTTAGATAGGTGGGAAGAAAACCAAGAGAGCATTATTATGAAAGCCTTGAGAAAAGAGAGTATCAAGGAGAAGAAGACGATTGACAGTGTCAGAACCTGCAGAGATGTCAAGAAGGACAAGGATTGAATAGAGGGACTGTCTGTAATTGGTGCTTGCTTTTCATTTCCTCTCACTCTCTTAAGTTTCTACAGTCTGACTTCTGATCTCATCCAACTGAAATGTCTCTCTCCAGAGTTACCAGTGATCTCTAATGACCATATATAGGCAATTTTCTCGTTCATTTGCCAGATTTTTATTGATCAGTCATTTGATTTTGATATTATTCTGTCTGTTGCCATGGCAACTTCATTATGGAGTATTGATCAAATTTGCTTTCTTTCATTTAACCCAATATATGATTGTTTTCTTAGGGTGGACAACAAGGTATCATTGAAGGAGATTTTGCTATATGTATTAGTTTATATCATGGTTATGAGTTACTGCAACAAATGGGAATGAGATCCTTATATATCTTCCTTTGTGGGATTATGGATGGAACTAAAGGTAAGTTAAATAAAATATTTTACATGTAAACTTTTTGCTATTTAGATATGATTTAAGAAAAATGAATATTCTAAAGTACTTTATTATACTAGTAAAATAATGGAATAATATGCTATGATGGGTAATTATGATAAAGTCTACTAGGAAAAAAGAAAAGTTGTTCATTAATGATATATGAGCATGCAGACCTGAAAAGCCATAAACATTTTTTTTTAATTGGCTGGGCAATGGGGTTAAGTGACTTGCCCAGGGTCACACAGCTGGTAAGTATCAAGTGTCTGAGGCCACATTTGAACTCAGGTCCTCCTGACTCCAGAGCCGGTGCTCTATCTACTGCTCCACCTAGCTGCCCCAACATTTTCATTGTTGATAATTTTCATATGTCTCCTGAGCCCAATTTGAGTGAATTAACATTTAATTCATACTTCTTGAGAAACAGCATGGCACAGTACATAGAGTCAACCTTGGAGTCAGGGTCTTCCCAGGTTCAAGTGCTACCTCTCATACAGACTGGCTTTGTCATCCTGGGCAAGTCTTGCATAACCTCTTAGTGTCCCAGGCAACTCTCAAAGACTATTAGGTACAGTACTATTAGGCCTACAGTTGTAGGCCTGCATTGGTAGAGATGTTTCCTCATTAGTACTCCTTAAACCAATGAAATTACAGGTCTAGATCAATCAACAATTTACACTTGTTTTAAAATTAATTACAAGTTGCTAAGTTTCTAATTGTATGGAAAACATTTTTCCTTATTTTTGAAGGTATGACTCGAACCAAAAATGAACTTAGCAGGAATGAACAGTTCATGAAACTCTTTGAGCAACTAGGAAACATGTTTTCAGATTGGAATACAACTTCAGGAATTGTCGATGGGAATCCCAACCAAAGTGGTTTGTAGACTCTTTAATATTGTCAGTTTTTCTTTTGTCTCAGAATAATAATATTTACAGTTCCTTTCATTTCCTATTACTCTTTTGTGCTTTACAAAACTTTTTTTTTGCATTATTTTGTTTGAATCTCCTAAACGACTCTGTAAGTAGGTAAGTAGGGTAGGAGTTAACTCCATTTTACAGATGACAGATGAGTAAAGTGAGGAGAAATATAGTTAATAAATGATGGAACCAGTTTCAAAACTAGGTCTTCTGACTTCGCTTAACATGTTCTTTACATCATATTGAGTTTGTAATCAATCTTAGAATATTTTACTATTAAGCTTAGTATTTATTTACATGTTTTTATCCTGTGATAGACTTCTTAAATGCTTACAGTTTTCCTGTTTATAGTTAGTAATTTCTAAAACAAAGCTGGTTCTTAAAACTCAAGTTGCTCATATTTAGGATAAGTAAAAATTATTTGTGCTTGCTTTTTCTCTTTATTTTGTGTTGCATGTCTTTCACTAGAGTTTGATAATTTCAGTGAATCATAAGGTACCTTTAAGGTCTTCTGGTCCAACCTTTTTCCTGAAGCATTTTTAGGTTTTTAAAATGAAACTTAAACCTCAGTTTTTTACTTTTGTTTCTAAAAGCATGCAACATGACATAACTGTATCAAAATTGTGTGTTTAAAATTAAATAACTGCAAGTCTCAACACATTAGTTCTGAACAGGATCAAAGTCTTAAGAACTTAAAAGCATACATATTGTGATTTCGACATGAAAAATTTTTTTTTTTTTCAATTTTCAGGGCACAATGATAAAAAATTTATTTATAGCCATCCGAAGTTAAAAAAATTAGAAGAAGTTGTAGTTGAACACTTCAGAACCTGGAAAGGTATATTATATTCATTATCTTCAAAATAAGATAAACTTATGATAGAAATAATGCCTCCTTGCATTTGTATAGTACTGTACTGTTTCCACACTTATTCATGTAAAATTTCATTTGATTCTCACAAGATAAGTAGGGCAGCATTCAATCTAATTTAATAAATATTTAATTTTTTGAATATTTTATTTTCTCAATAACATGTAAAAACAATTTTTAACATTCATTTTTAAAAAATTTGAGTTCCAAATTCCCTCCCTCCTTCCCTTTCTCTCCCCCACTTGCACTTGAACCTCAATAAATATGAACTGGTTAAAAGAAAGAATACACATACACAATTGGGTACAGAAATGCATCTTATCAAACAGGGATAAAAGGGAAAGTTGTTAAGAGAATTGGGGTAGGGATGGATAAGTGAAAGGGCAAATTAAGGGAGGCAGTACTCAGAAGCCAAACAGACTTTTAAAGAGGAAAACGGGGTGGGTGGGGAAGACAAGAAAGAGTATATGAGAATAGGATGGAGAGAAATATAGTTATAACTTTGAATCTGAATGTGGGGTGAACTTGCCATAAAAAGGAAGAGAATGGTAGAATTGATCAGAAACCAGAATCCACCAAATACAAGAAACATACTTGAAACAGAATGATACACACAGAGTTAAAACAAGGGCCTGAAGCAGAATCTGTTAATGCTTCAGCTAAAGTAAAAAAGGCAAAGGTAGCAGTCATGATCTCAGACAAAGCAGCAATACAAATAGACCTAATTAAAAGAGATCAGTAGAAAAACTACATTTTACTAAAAGTGCCTTAGATAATATCAGTGCTAAACATATGCACCAAGAGATATAACATCTAAATTCTCAAAGAAAAAGTTGAAAGAATTACAGAAGGAAATAGACAGTAAAATTATAAGTGAAGGACCTCAATTTACTCCTCTCAGACCTAGTTAAATCTGAATTAAAAAAAAAAAAAGGTAAGGGACTAAATAAATAGAATTGCTATTGGTACCTGATCTACCTGATCTCAAACTATATTTCAAAGCTGTAATTTTCAAAATAATATAGTCCTGGGTAAGAAATACATTGATCAGTAGAATGGATTTAGTATACATAAACAAATGAGCATAGTGACCTAGTTTTTTGTAAACCCAAAGATTCCAGCTATTGAGGTAAGAATTCTGTTTGACCAAGACTGGAAAACAGTCTGGTAGAAAACATTTCATATGATATGCAGAGGTCCCTTCTAAAATCCTTTCTAGCTTCTAAACCCTATAACAAAGACATATCATATCCTCTTTCAGTGGAAGTACAGAGATGAAATGGTCATAAAGGTCTAAAGAGGAAAAGTAAAAGGTTAACTCAGAAGTTAAAAGAGAAGTGAATATTCAGAGGAAAGGGCATGGTCACTATTGTACTAGATACTGCAGGCTAGGTCAAGGAGTATTAGAAATGAAAAAAGGCCATTGGATTAGTGGTTAGGATACTACTTTTGAGAGTGTAGTTTTAGTGTAGTGATGGGGATGGAAGCTACAGTGAAAGGCAATGAGTGAATGAATATATGATGGTAAGTAGGTGGAGGCTTTGGGCTTAAACATTTTTTTCAAGAAGTTTGGTGAAAGGAAGGAGATAGAGTGTGAGATAAAAGGATAAAGAGAAGGTGTTTTTTTGAAATTCTCAGATTGGGAAGATCTGGGCATTTTCATTTGGGAAGAAGCAGAGAAGATATTGTATGGTCTAATTTTTTTTAGCTAGTAAGAAGATAAAGGGAAACCTTGCAGCCAGAGAGGTTGGCATATAATGAAGAAGCTGAATCTTCAGTGATATTTCAAGAAGACAAGAGGCCTAACAACAAAGGTTTAGGCAATATCAATTGTTTTTTTTTTTTTCTTTCAAAGCAGTTGGGGTTAAGTGACTTGCCCAAGGTCACACAGCTAGTAAATATCAAGTATCTGAGGCTGGATTTGAATTTAGGTCCTCCTGACTCCAGGGTTGGTGCTCTATCCACTGTGCCACCTAGCTGCCCTCAATTGTGTTTTTGAAAGAAATATTTTGGATTAATGCCATACTTTTTTGCCTTTTGAACTAACCAACATATTTAGTTGCATGTTTTTTTATGTGTCTAACTTTAAAATATAATTTCTGTTAAATAGATCAAAATACATCTGAAAAAAAATGTGATACCAGGGTTATGATTTTTTCATCATTTCGAGACAGTGTTCAAGAAATTGCAGAAATGCTCCAATACCAGCCGACTGTTAGAGTTATGACTTTTGTTGGCCATGCTTCAGGGAAGAGCACAAAAGGTTTAACACAGAAGGAACAACTTGAGGTAATTCAGAGTTTCTGATATGACAGAATTAGGAATATTTTGAATATTTTTCATTTATACCCTTTAAAAATCATTAGCAAAGTTCAAATTAATGCTTTTTTAAATCTTAGAGGAATTTTCTTTGATATTAGACATGTAAGTAAAGCTAGAACTGTATTTGAAATGTTGTTTTGAAGTGTCTTTAAAAATTATTTTATTATTTTTTCAAGTGAAATTTTACAAAAATGTAATTTTAAGAAATGGAAAATGTTATAAAAGTTTTTTTATTTAATTAAATTATTTAATTAAATTAACTTATATCGTAAAAGTACAGTAAGAAGCAATTCTGATAAGAATTATATTTCTCTTGGTAATTTCTAAGCAGTCTTGTACTCTGAAATTAGACGTTGTTAATACGGTGCCCCCTCCCATAGAGAAGAGGGAGAATGTCACGCCTAGGATCCGGATAGATACTGACCTGTTCCAAATGCTGGCATGTTGGAATGGTTCCCAAACTTAACATGCCTGTTGGTTTCTGGGAGAAATGCTGTATAACTTATGTCTCTTTTCCATACAATATGTAATGAGACCTAAAACAACTCTTCTTTGTAATCCACATAGCTATCTGCATTTCGCCCCCCATCTTTCCCACCTACCAGCCACATTAAGGAGTAGAGCAAGACTCCTTGTACCATGTAGGTCCCAGTCTGAAGCTAGACTTAGATCTGGCCTCCTACCAGCACTCTCTGCTGACTGTGGGAAGAGGTAGAGGGATGCTGAAAATAGAACCACTGCCAACTTCTTGTCCCTTCCCCATCAGTGCTAGGCTTCCTTCTGCCAGCTTTTCAGGTGATGGAACAGACATAGAACCAGCCCAGCTCTCTCTGTAGTACTCTTTGGAGATTATGAGCTCTCCCACTGTTGTCCCTGTGGTTCCTCCTGTTTCTTTCCCTATGCCTATAATAAGTAAACAGTGACCATTTAGGAGGAAGTTAATCCCTTTCTCATCCTCATGTTCTCTTGTCCCTGTCCCACTCCATCTGACCTTAACCATATCCCACTCCAAACCTTCCCGTACCTTCCATTGTACCTTCTGAAATTCCTGTTCTGTAGTGAACAAACTCCCTTTCATCCTGAACCTCTTTCCCTCATACTCTTTCTGTCTATTGGCCCTCACTGAGACCCAAGTCATCTAACAGTACAGCATGCCTGGCTCTCCTCTCCAGAACTGGCTGTTCTTTTGCTCAGCCTGTCACCCTTACTGGTCCTTGAGGGACAGTCGGAATACTCTTTGCTCCCCATTGTCACTTCCAGATTCATCCTTTGCTCCCTTCACTCAGTAACCTTTCCTCTGTTGAAGTCCATACATTTAAAATTTTCTGGCCCATCAAAATTATGGCAGTTGTAGAATACTGAACCCCCCAGATCCTTCTCCCTCCTCTCTAATGGGTTTAGCACTTGTCTCACCATCTTCCTTTCTTTTGCTCTAGTGCTTTAATATTGATGTCGATGCTTCCTCACACTCTTCCAAATTCCTTAGCCTCCTAAAGTCCTAATATGCCCTATTCCTTTATTCCACTTCAGACATGTAGAGGAATATTCGTACGCTAGATCTTGCTATTACCCAACAAGCTTTCCACTTTTCTAATTAGAAACTGACATTCTACTATCCAACTGTAACCTCCCATGATTCCACCTCTCCCTCAATTTTATTTCTCTTGTACTTGTTCTTCACCCTCATCAAGACCTCCAATTCTTCCACCTCTCAGTATTTTCTTCAGCAGTTATCCCTGCTCTGAGACATACTAATAATGGGTATCCAAATTACCCTGATTACTAAATATAGTATAGGAATTATTTTTTTCAGAATGAAGATTTATTTTCAATAATCCATTTATATTTTGTTCTTGTTCTTTGGGACATACCACCCTTAAATCTGAGCTGTGACTGAGAAAGTTTTAAAACACCTGAAGCTTCATCTGGGGTAGACATAAAATCAGCTTGTAGTTCTCCTTTCACCAAGGCAAATCAAAAAGAGAATGCCCTTTTTAGCCATTTCTTTCCTTTCTCCTGGCCTATGTTTGCCTTTTATTATTTCTCTTATTTGCATTCATTTTGGCCTGATTGTACTAACATAACATTTTTTGTAGGGTGGGGGGAGGCACAGGGAGTGATTTTTTTCCCCCCTAGGAACCTTCTTTAGGAATGGTTATGGATATAAAGGAAAAAAAGATATCTAATTCAATAAACATGAAGTGCCTCCTATGGCCAGTCTCTCTGATAGATACTGGTGATAGATTTAAAAAAATGATGTAGTTCTTGCCTCAAGAAACTTCCATTCTATAAGGGAGAGGGTCATGACATGTATACCAAGAAGTATGTTGTGGGGTTGAATGTGTTAGGGACAAAGGAGAGATCTAGATAAAGTACTGTAGGAATTCTGCTATTGTTTTATCATTATTTTGATTTTTATTTTAATGATCTTTATTTTAGGTGGTAAAACAATTTCGTGATGGTGGTTATAACACATTGGTCTCTACATGCGTTGGTGAAGAAGGTTTAGATATAGGAGAAGTTGATCTAATAATCTGTTTTGATGCTCAGAAGAGTCCAGTTCGTCTTGTACAACGAATGGGTAGAACTGGCCGCAAACGTCAAGGCAGAATAGTTGTTATTCTTACAGAAGGAAAAGAAGAATGTGTATGTATAGCCATAGGTGTATAATTTAATGTTTGAAGTTTGAAAGTTATATGCAGTAGACAGAATGAAACTTTGACAAAGTTTAAGAAATCTGGGAAAGCATTGATTTATTTCTAACAGTTTCCTTTTAATTCATATAAAATAGTTCTCTTTTATATACTTACAATGATATCTTAGTATCCCCATTTAATGTACATTGAAAGAAACCTAAATACTAAGTAAATAACAATATTTGTAATGTTCTACAAACCTGAGCTATAAATCCATTTTCTTATTTTTCCTTCATAAGCATAAAGGTGAACATAAATTGTATTTGAGATGGTAATTTTTTTTTTTTACTTAAGAGTTTTAAAATTAGTCACTTTTTCTGCTTAGACTCTTTAATTTTTCATTTGGGTAATGGGATCATTTGTTCTTTATGAATAATAATTTATGTAGCCTTTGTAATTGTAAAACTTTTATTTCCTTCACAACTATTTAGAGTTTTAGCACATTTTGTTGTTAGCTCAAATTTAATCATAGGGTGCTCTTCGTAGTCAAAATAAGTCATGTATCCTGATGTAGCAGGAAGGTATTAGATTAGGAATTGGAAGACCTGGGTTCTATTCTTTTTTTTTTTTTTTAATTTTTAAAAAAAAATTTTTAAATTTAAAAAAAATTTTTTTGGGGGGGTTCTATTCTTGACTGTGTGCCTAACTAGTCTGTAATTCTGTTACTTTCTCTATCTGTAAAATGGGGATAATAAACCTGGGTTGGTCAGAGAAAGATAGGATCATACTTTGAAAAATATAACCCAGTATAAATGTAAAATATTTTTATTATTTTTTTATCATTGCTATTAGCTCAGTTAGCTTAATAGTGGAGATATTGCTAAAGTTCTTTTAATCAGTATTCATTATTTTTGATTATGGAAAAGAGATTGCCTATTCATTCATTTGAAAGGGATTTTACTGCTCTCTCTCTAACAGAACAGGTAGTTGTAGTGATTTATGAATTGTTCTAAATCATAGATTAAGAACTGCAAAGGGGCTTTAGCCTGTATGTGTTACAGGAGGCCCCCTGCCATTAAACAAATGAGGCAACTGAGATCCAACAAAGTGAAGTGATTTGCTGAAAGTCTTATAGCAAGTGACAGATCTGAGGTCTTTTGACTCTAGATCCAGCATTCTTTCTGTTATACTACTTTCCTACATTAACTATATTAAATCAACTTCAAAAGAGATGTAGTACTCATTCTAGATTGTTGTTAGGTAGATGCAGCTGTACTAGAATTCATATTGTTTTCCTTGAAGTATAACCATATAGAATAAAAATCTGATACCACAGTGTGTCAGGTGGGTGTTCCTCTGTCTTCCAGCATTCATGCTATAAAGTAATCCACTGTGCTGTTAAATCTTTCATAATGAAAATTAAACAACCAGAACCCCCAGTTGTTCAGGTTCTCTTATTTCTGCATGAAATCTGCAGTACTGTATATTGATCATTTATGTTAATAAGAATGAGGCTATCACAAAAATCTTATGAATTAAAGATAGATTAAATTATACACAGTATAGTTGATGTACTGAGACAGAGAGATGTATTTATATATTAAATATTTTTGATGGCAATTGAAAAGGGGAATCATGTGTGATAGTGATCTTTGTATGTCTTAATGGTTTATATAAATGTCATCTATCATCATTATTTTCTTGTTGCTCTTTAGCTAATGAATAAATTCAGTTGACCAGAACAGTTGTTAAAATTGTATTTTTTTGTTATTTTATCTAGAATAAAGCCACACTAATAAGAACAACTTCTATTATTTCAAAATGGTAATTTCTAATTTCTAAAAAAAATTTCTAAGATTACCTTTTTTTTTTTTAAAAAACAGGCTTATAATCGAAGTCAGTCTTGCAAAAGAAGTATTTATAAAGCTATTTCTGGTAACAGGAAGACCTTTCATTTTTACCAAGGAAGTCCACGTATGATTCCTGATGGAATTTATCCAAAATTACACAAAATGTTCATTGCTGAGGAAATTTATGAACGAGCAAAGCCATCTAAAATACACAAAAAATCATCAATCTTTTCATTTGGGGATGGTAAGTTTTTTTATTTTTCAATATATTTTTTTCAATAATGGAATATATTCCATTATTAATTTTCTCTATTGTAATCAAAAGCATATGTCTTACTGATAAAACAACTATAGTTTGAAAAACTCATCACAGATTTTAAGATACAATAACATTTTTCCCTTGGGATATTATCCATTGCTAGAGGAAAGGTGATACTGACTGACCCTATAAAGATACTGACAGAGACCTTAACCACAGCATAACAAAATAAAGTTATTTGTGGCGTTGATAACTAGACATAAATACAGGTTTTAATATTGAGAAAAAAATGGGTACAAAGACATTACTGCTATCAAGAAAGTGAAAGGCCTATAGATACCAGCACTGTGCAAAGGAAAGGCTTCTGACTTCATGTCTCAATCTGTATAGTTGTCATTCTTCATCTACTTGTTTTGTCCTGTGTGATTCATAGGCTCACAGACTTAGAACCTAATTACAATTTAAATTATATTCACTACAAAGAAAAGGAAAAAGAGTGAACTTTTTGTGTTAATAGCCTTTCTTAATTTTAAGTTTTTTTCCCAATTGCACCTTACCAGATTTGCTTTAAGAAAAATGAGGACATAAAATTAGATGTGGTCCCTTGCATTACAAAGAGTAGAGCTGGATTCAGGACTTCATGGAGAATAAACATACCATAGTCCTTCCATCCCATGTAGCCTCTGTTTTTGCAGTGATTTTTGTAATGAAAATACTTGAGTCATCTTCACTGTATGGGTTAATTGCCCATTGAAATACTAAACCCAAACCTTGAATTTCCCCCTTTGAAACCTGATTTCTTCATAATCTGCATCTGTGCCATTGACATGTGTTGTAGTATCCAAGATATCTGTGTTGATAGGCACTGAAGCAGGATTTGCTTGTAGTGTTATGATGGGATAAGTATATTTTCAGTAGGGACAGGCAGGACAAGGATAATAGGGACAGTGGGCAGAGATATGGGTACAATTTCATTGGTAAAATATGAGGTTGAGAAACAAATCCGTGGACTTTTTCCTGGATACCTGAATCAGTTCAGGACCTGTCTTCTTTTGTATTCATTTACTTAATATGGTTTGAAGAATCTTATTAAGTTCTTACTAGAATTTCTTTATTTCCTAATCCTCTATAACAGATGTTGGCACATAAGTATTCATTTTTTCATAATGGTCTTCATGAGCACTATAGGGTAAGATGAGCAAGTGCCTTATGCAAATGATGCTTGTTACCTTTAGGCACACAATGGAAGTGACTCCAGGAATTCCATTATTGGCTTCTTCAGAGTTAACCAATTAGCCATCGTTCTATTAGATAAAGTTTCTATGTATCTTGTGGTTTCATTTATAGTGAGAATGTCAATATTGATATTATTCATTTCCTCTAGTAGTAATTAGATTACTGAACAACAATCTTATATTTAGAATGTCAGTAATTATGTTAATATTTATAAATCTAAAGTCTTTTGTGAGGCTTAGCACTTATAACATGGGTGGGAAACCCTTCTTGGGTCTCCCTTTTTTTGCCATTCTGCCCCTATACTGCAAAAGTGGAATGGGGTCTATTTTATATTGACCTAGTGCACCATGTCATTCACCAGGATACTATATGGGCTTCTCCTGAATGTAGTAATCTTATCAGAAAAGGAAATAAAATTAGTTTGGTATAACTTTTTAGTGACTACTGCATTCTTTTTTTTTTTTTTTTTTTGTTAAAACTCTTCCACTTCTCCTTAGCTATACACTGGGATGGTCCTACCCTTAATTTTATCGTCACCCTTAAGTTTTTCTATTTTCATGTTCAAGAGCTCTGAAATTCCTTTATCCAGTCTTTATCTTTTATAATTCTATTTCTTCCTGTGTCTTACTATGTCTGAACATATTCTTTATCTTTGCAGTAATCCTTCCACCCTTACTCGTTCTGGCTGTACTCTCTCTCCTCCCCAATCTCAATGCTTTGATGAACCAGGTCAACTCAATATTATCCTGTATGCTCAGATCTTAGTTCTTTTATCCTGTTGCTGATCACAACTTCCCAGACTCTGCCTGTGGATTACCGTCACTGTTTTCCTGCTTTCCTGCTTAGTGTACTACTGGACGGATCTGGAATAAATCATGAAATTGTGCTTACTGGGTCTTCTACAGATTTATGTTGTCTAATCTCAACTGGGCCATCACTGCAGCAAGGCAGTTCTTCTGTTCCTCCTTAATTGATTCTTTTCCACTCAGCACAACTACTCTTCCAAACCTTGTCTTTCCTCTAACATTCCAAGGCAACACTCTCAGCTGAAGACATTATATTCTTTTCTAAATGTTTACCAAGTATCTGTTTAATAAACACTTCTGGAATTTTATTGGGTCTTGATCTTGAGCTTACTGACTACAATTCAAAAAAATCCCATTTTTCTCTTTTTGAATATTTTGGTAATTGCTCTTTTCTAGCCTTCTGATACTTTCCCCATTCTCAATCATATCTAAAAATTCACCAACAGTAGCTTTACGATTACCTTTGCAAGGGGCAGCTAAGTGGCCAATGGATAGCACACTGTCCCTGGAGTCAGGAGGACCTGAGTTCAAATCCAGCCTCAGACACATAACACTTACTAGCTGTGTGACCCTGGGCAAGTCACTTAACCCCATTGCCTAACCAAAAAAAAAAAAAAGAAAGGAAGAAAGAAAGAAAGAAAGAAAGAAAACTCCTTGACATTAAAAAAAAAAAAGATTACCATTGCAAGTTAAATCCTAGGATGCATTTCATATAGTCTCGTGGCTAGTTATCATATCTCCTCTTGTGTCTCATTTTTCGTTTTACGTTGTTCGTCAGCAAATAAATTGACATTTGTTCTTCTTGTTAGAGAAAATGGAAGTGAAATAATACCTGAGTGATTGCTTTTTACCCCCTCAGTTACATCTTAATATTCTACTATCTTCTCCAGGCAGTTAGTCATTCCTTTCATGATTGGTTTTCCTCTTTTAGTTATAGCTTAATAAGCACTTCTTAATTACTTTTGACTTTTTATTTCAAGCCTCACCTTGTTTTGTGCTTTTCTGATACTTATCAGTACATAGGTTCATGGTTAGGATGTTTGAAAATATGTAATTATTTATGTACCTTGCAATCATTTTGGGTCATGGACTGGCATCAGAATAGCAAAGAACCACAAGTCTGTCTGGAGAGGAGAAATCTAGGTAATTTTGAGTGTCTTTATGGTTAACAGATTTTAGCTAGGGAGTTGTGAAGGGCACTAATATTCAGACTAGAGAGCAGCATGAATTCTAGGAAATCCTACATTTGAGCAGATAGATGAAGAATAGTTTCTAATGAGTTAGACTCAATTCTGCTTTTTTGGAATTGATAAAGGTGATTTAAGATGGGAATAGTCAATGTTGTAGTGGGACAGGAGTGGTGCACATAATAAACAAGTACATTAATACCACTGTTCCCTGGTTCAGCCATTTTGAAAACAATTTGTATTATGCAAAGACAGTGACAGAAATGGTTGATGCCCTTTGACTCAGAGATCTCATAAGAAAAGTTGCATATGAAGAATTCAGAGAAGCATATGAAGATTTATATGAATGCATACAGAATGAAGTAAGGAGAATCAAGAAATCAGTATGCATATTGACTTCAAGAATGTAAATGGAAAGAACCCCAAACCCCTGAAACTGAATGCTATGTAATTATAGTAGCCAAGCTTGGCCCTAAAGAAGAGATTAAAAAATTGTACTTTCCTCTCTTCTCTAAAGGGATAGAGGACTGTGATCTTGGAATTACGTGTAAACTGTCATGACAGGTGATGTTGGTTGGTTTTGCTGAATTGTTCTTTTATATTCCCCTTTAAAAAATAATTCTTGGATACAAGGGATTAGTTGCTGGGTAAGGGAGGAAAGATATTTGGAGATGCAGGTGATGTAAAAACAAAAGATAATTTTTTTCTTCAAAAGATGAAGCAAAAAATACTTTTTTGGGGGGGTAAGGCAGTTGGGGTTAAGTAACTTGCCCAGGGTCACACAGCTAGTAAGTGTTAAGTGTCTGGTCTGAGACTGGACTTGAATTCAGGTCCTCCTGACTCCAGGGCCAGTGCTCTATCCACTGTGCCACCTAACTGCCTCCAAAAAATAAATTATTTAAAAAATTTTAATTATTTGCTTCTTTTGCCATTTCACTTTGACACATATGAACTTCTAGACATTGAAATCTGGCTTACCTAGTGTTGTAATTCATTATTTATTCATTGTTTCCTGCCTTTGCTAAGCCCTGATACTACAGATGCAGAATTTTTAAGAAGTTTTTTTTTGTTACTCCCCTTTTTTTAATTTTTAAATTAACTTATTTTTAGTTTTCAACATTTACTTCCACAAGCTTTTGAGTTTTAAATTTTCTCTGCCTCCTTCCCCTCTCCCCTCCCCAAGCTGGTGTGCAATCTGATACAGGCTCTACAGATACATTCTTTTTTTTTTTTTTTTTTTTTTTTTTTTTTTTGTTGGGGTTAAGTGACTTGCCCAGGGGTCACACAGCTAGTAAGTGTCAAGTGTTTGGTCTGAGGCTGGATTTGAACTCAGGTCCTCCTGACTTCAGGGCTGGTGCTCTATCCACTGCACCACCTAGCTGCTCCATACATTCTTATTAAACATATTTTCACATTAGTTATGTTATATAGAAGAATTAGAATGAATGGGAGGAACCACAAGAAAGAAGAAACAAAACAAAACAAAAAAGAGAGAGAAAGCAAATAATATGCTTCGATCTGCATTCAGACTCCATAGTTCTTTCTCTGGATGTAGGTAGCATTTTCCATCATGAGTCTTTTGGAGTTGTCTTAGATCTTTGTATTGCTGAGAAGAGCTCAGTCTATCAAAGTCAGTTATGTACTGCCTTTGTTTTTACATTACTTTCATTCTCAGAAGTGTCCCTCCCCAGACCCATGCCTTTGTTATAAAGAATAAAGACTAAAGAGTTAAAAAAAAACAGTTGAGAAAAACTAATAACCCAGTCAACTGAGTTTGACTGTATATTCATTATTCCATACCCTTGGGGCACCTCACACCCTTTGCAAATAAGGGAGGAAGGTGCATTTTCTTGTTTCTTAGGGACCAAGCTTGACCATTACATTTTCAGATCATTCAGCTACCCTCTACCTCCATTTACATTGTTGTCATTGTGTATATTGTTTTCTTGGTTCTGTGTACTTCACTTTGCATCAGTTCCTGTGAATCTTCCCATGCTTCTTTCAGTTATTCATGGGGTTTTTTTCTTCTAACCAGAAAAAGTTTTATTACTTTTAACATTATTCTATAGCTAAGCCCAAGAGCACATCCACAAGCACTTTTTAGCACCTGTGATGCTCCAGGCACTATGTTACAAAGGAAGGCAAAGCAAGAAAATACACTTGCTGCCCTTGAGGACAGCACATTCTAATGTTAACCACTATATTCTGGAGATATATAGGGGGATTGAGAACACATTAGTATTTCGGGGAACTGGAAAAGACTTCTTATAGAAGCTAGCATTTGAGCTAAGACTTGAAGGAAGCCAAGGAATTCAGGAGGAGATGTGGAGAGAAAACATTCCAGGTATGGAGGAGACAACCAATGAAAATGTATAAAGTTGGAGATGGAGTGTTTTCTTTCTTGAGGAATATCAATGAGGCCAGTGTCACTAGATCAAAGATTATGTAGAGGGGAGTAAAGTGTAAGAAGATTGGAGAGGCAGGAGGGGGTCAGATTATGAAGGGTTTCAAGCCATTTCTAGGGCACAGTGGCCATGCTCTCAGATGTATCTTTCTACCAAATGAGGTAATATTTTTAGGGATCCTGAACAAGGAAAAGATATGTCAATACTGTTTGGAGTTAACATTCCAGAATAGTCACTACTCAGTTCCTTCCTGGATCTTTCCCCTCAAGGATTGATATTAAGCAGCCAACATCCACGTTCCTCACTCTCCCACTCTACACCTCCCCACTCCCGCCTCCCCCCCCCCATTGAGAACATAGGAAAAACAAAACCCATTACCATGTAATCAAAACAAATTCCTACATTGACCATATCCTAAAAATATTTGTTGCATTCTGAGTCTTTCCCCTCTTTATCAGGAGGTGAATAGCTCGTTTCATCATTAGTCCTCTGGAATTTTGGTTGGTCATTACGCTGATAAGAGTTTGGCACAATAGTATCTTGTCACATTTATATACCATAACTTGCTTATCCATTCCCCAATTTGTGGGTAGTCCCTCAGATCCTCATTCTTTGCCATCCCCAAAAGAGCTGTAAGTATTTTTATACATCCTTAGATTTTGTTTTGCATAGAAGTAATCTCTTCCTTAATCAGTCCTCTCTAATTCCTCCTCTCTTCTTCCTGTCGAGTGAAAGTATTTCTGTATTGAGTGGTGTGTGTGGGTGTGTGTGTGTGTGTGTGTGTGTGTGTGTGTGTGTGTGTACATGCTTCTTTTGAAAACCAGTTCAGATAAGAGTGAGGTTCAGGTATCAGCTGCTTCCCCCTCACTCCTACCTCCTTAATTTTATAGATGTATGTACATACCTTGGTTATGTGAGGTAATTTCCTAGTCTTCCTTCCCTTACCCCCACCCCCTCAGTGCATTCCTCTTCCCCTCTCTTTTCCATTTTTTTCTCAAGATCTTCAAGAGGTAACAGAACCACTCCCAAGCCTTCTCTCGTTGGACTCCATGTGTGAACCCTGATGATGTTAAGGTTCTGAGTGGACATGTGTCCATATTTGGGTATAAGCACTTTATCCTTCTTTAGTCCTTTTATCATTCATTGTTCATAGGAGTTTACTTTTTTTATGATTCTCTCCACTCCTGGGTTTGTACTTCACAGTTTCTCTGCACCTCTGGTCTGTTCGTCAGGAATGTTGGAGGTCCTCTTCATTAAAGTCTACTCTATGTAGCATTATGTTCAGTTTTGCTGAGTAAGTTGTTCTTGGCTGTAAGCCTATATATCCTTTGCCTTCTGGAATATCGTATTCCAGTTCTCTGTTCTTTATAATAGTGGCTGCTAAATTGTGTATTGTCTTGACTGTGGCTTCTCAGTACTTCAATTCTTTCTTTCTGGTTGTTTGCAGTATTTTTTCTTTGACCTAGAAGTGGTAGTTTTGCTTTGACCAGGATTTTGGCTATTATGTTTTTGGGAGTTTACTTTCTGTGGTTTGTTTCAGGAGGTGACTGGTAGATTCTTTCTGCTTCTACTTTACCCTCTGGTTCTGAAGAGATATCGGCAGTTTTATTTTGGTTTTTTTCTCTAAAGAATTTTTGAAAATGATGTCTAGGCCCCTTTGTTTTGGTCATGGAGTTCAGATAGTCCAATGATTCTTATTTTTTTTTCTCCTTGATCTGTTTTCCAGGTCAGTTGTTTTTGCTATGAGATCCCTTATATTTTCTTCTATTTTTTCAGCCTTTTTTTTGGACTTTATTTTAACATTTCTTGTTGTGATGTGGAGTCAGTTGGCTTTCATTTGTTCCGTTTGAATTTTCAGGGAGTTTGTTCCTTCGGCAAGGTTTTGTACTTCTTTTGCCAAGCTATTAATTCCCTTTTCAGTTCCTTCTTCTATTGCTCTCATTTCTTTTCCAGTTTTTACTTCAAGCACTCTAATTTCATTTATAAAAACATCTTACTTCATCTCTTCCAGGAATTTGAGTGGAGTTTGTATCCAGGCTGTGTTTTTCTCTGAGGCAATGCTTGTGATAATAATAGCAATAATAACAACAACAGCAATAGCTAACGTTTATATCGTGTCTACTCGGTGCCATGCACTGTGCTAAACACTTTAAAGTTATTATCTCATTTAATTCTCATAATAAGCCGGGGAGGTTGATCCTATTACTATCCCCATTTTACAGAGAGAGAAACTGAGGCAAACAGATTAAGTGACTTGCCCAGGGTCACACAGCTAGTGAGTGTCTGAAGCTGGATTTGAATTCAGATCTTCCTGATTCCAGGCCTGGTGCTCTATCTACTGCACCACCTAGGCGCTCCATGATTGTAGATGTTTTAGAGTCATTCTCTTCTACATTTGTGTCTCGAGATTCCCTGTCACCATGGTAGCTTATTATGATGGAGTTCTTTTTTTGTTTGCTGATTCTTCGAGCCTGCTTCTCAACTTCAGAGTTGATGTTATAGCTGGGCTCTGTGGCACTTCTGGAAGGAAGACCTGGGCTTTTCATGTTGCTGATTTCTTGGGGCAGTGAGTGGATCTCAGGCTGGGGACCTGCAAGCTTTCAGTGCTCTCAGAGTGGTCTGATCCAGGGCTAAGTTTAATTGCTACTCACCCTCATCTCCACCTCTGTTGGCTTAGAGCCACAGAATTGTAGTTTCCACTTTGGTCTGGTATTCTTGCCCTGGTTATTCCTTTGCAAGCTGGGCTAGATGTTGAAAGTGAGACCCTGCTTTGTGCCCCACCACTTGAGCCACACCACTGATGCTGGCTTCTGAACTTACTCCCTTTTTTGTACACCATTCAGGGCTTCCTTACTAGGGAACACGAGCAGGTCCTTTTCTCACTCGGCCCTGCACCTGTGACCTGGGACTGAGTAGTGGGCAACAAAGCTACTAGTTGGCACCCATCTCCATTGTAGTGTCCTGTTATGGATGTGGCAGTGCCTTGGTATGGATCATCTCTTTTTGCCCTAATACTTAGCCTCTCTCTCTGGGTGCTGGAGTGCCCCATGGACAGCATAGTGCTAGCTTGATCCCATCTCTAGTGTCCAGAGACCTCTTTGTCTCCATATAGTGAGCTGGTCTGGGACAACAACTCACTGACTTTTTCTGGATAATATTTTCCATTAGGAGTCGATCTGGTTCATTTTCTAGATATATTAGGAAGAATTTGTAGAGGAGAGCTCACTGCCTTGTTTCCTATCATGCTACCATCTTAGCTCCTTCCCTTTCCATATTTGTTTCTTATGTTGATATTGATATTAATATTAATATTCCATTGCCTTCTTCTGCCATAATTTCTTTACCATATCCCCAGTCATTGGCTATCTGCTTTGTTTTTAGTTCCTTATAACCACAAAATGTTCTGCTATGAAGATTTTGGTGTATATTGGACTGCCTTCTTGGGTTATATATCTTGTAGTGGGATATCTGAGTTTCTTGATTTCTTTTTCAATACAGCATTGTACTTTTTTGTATTTACTTTATAATTTTTATTTAATTATTATTTTTTCAACTTGTAGGAATGAAACAACGCAATTCAAAAGAACCTTGGTCCTTAACAGAAGAAGAATTTAGGTTATGGAACAGACTATATAGATTAAGAGAAAGTGATGAAATTAAAGAAGTAATACTGCCCAAAGCTAAGTTTGAATCTTTACAAGATGAGGAAGATGTATCAGTAAGTAGAGCTTTCACATGTAATCATCTATGTGAAAGGTGCACTTAACGAGACGGTAGGAGCTGTGGATTGAAGCCCCAGCTCTGCCAGCATCCAACTGAATATACTTTGTCAAGTCTTTTAACCTTTGTCAACCTCAGTTTGCTCCTGTAAAATGAAGAGTTATATTAAGGAACTTTCAAGATTGCTTCCAGTCTGAAATTTGGTGATTTTGTACTTTTTCACTGATTCTTTGCAAATGAATAGAAAATCACATGATTAATACCTAATTAAAACAAAAACAAAAAATAACTTAATCATTAAGATGCTGCTAGGTGGCACGGTGACCTGGACCTGGAATCAGAAAGACCTGAATTCAAATCTGGCCTCAGACATATACCAGCTGTGTCACCCTGGGCAAGTCACTTGATCTCTGTCTGCCTCAATTTCCTCATCTGTAAAATGGGGATAACAATATTACCCACTTCCTAGAACTTTTGTGAGGATCAAATGTGATAGTGTTTGTAAAGTGCTTTGCCAACCTTAAAGCACTATATAAATGCTAGGTATTATCATTATTATTATAAGTTCGAAAGCACTAAAAGTCAGCTCAGTTTGCATTCCATGCAATGACCAAGTACACCTTCCTGATTTCCTTTCGGGTGGGAGGGTGACTGTGGATGATGAATGCTGCCTGGTCTGATGGAGGCCGAGTCTGTGTTGTTAGGTTTGTTTTTTTTTTTGGTTAAGTTTTGTTTCATTGTTTTCCTTTGTTATGAGGGAGGGTACTGAGTGGAAGGAATATTGGGAATTCACTGATGTGAAAAGAAGTCATCAATTAGACTATAAAACCTCTGCATATTTATATTGTGCCAGGTTCTTTTTTGATCTTCAGTAACAGTGTGTGTGCATGTTTTACTCTGTTGTATTTGCTTAACGTTATTTCCTATAAATGATTATCAGCTTTTTAAAATATGAAGAAACCCTTTAAACAACAATTTTCCTGCCTCTGACATAGTAATTTTTATACTTGTTAGAATTTATTGAGAAAATACATAATGATGAAAAAGTGCAAGGAGTAATTCATCCTTTTAGAATGAATTTATGTTTTATTGTGTTTTACTCATACAGCAGTATGTTATAATGGTTAGAGAGCTGGCCTCAGAGTCAGATAAACCTGTGCCTGTATACAGCTTCCAACATGCTGCCTGTCTGATCGCTCACTATCTCAGTGTGCCAGACATCTTTCTCAAACTGTAAGTGCCAGAGAAGCTGCCAGTCTATTGGTAGAGGGTTTTTCCCCAAGAACTCTCTATCTATATTGATGAAATTGCTGGTCTGTTAAAAGAAAAATCTACATACATTAAAAAAATGTGCACATGTGAGAATATTATTTCTTTGATCTGCAGAAGGTCTATTTGCTTATTTGATATGTTTTTTTTTTTTTTAACAAAACGTCTCTCTTGAAATAACTGCCACCTCTCAGGAGTCTGCAGGCTGTAGGTTGGAATTCTCTCACATAAATATTTCAATATTATTCATAAAGTTTTCATATTAGTTGTTTTAAACACCCATATTGTATTATATGGTACTAACATTCCATGGGTTGTCCAGTTGTTTTGTTACTAGTGGGTGTTCAGTTTAGTTTTTTAACATTGTAGATTTTGCTCTTGTGAATGTCTTTGTACAGATTAGCTTTTATTTCTCTTTTGGCCTGTTAAACTTTTAAAAAATGAGAAAAACCCTAAAATAAATAGTTCATTTTCATTTTAAAAAACTAACCTTTTGCTGATGCTGTTTATTTTTATATTGAAATGGAATTATGATCTCAGTGATTTGGGGGTTCCTCCAGTGATGCACATTACCACCACCACGTCACCATCCATGTCTGCTTGTCTTTTCTGACTCTTGCCTGTGTCCTGTCATAAGTTTGCCCCTGGCAGTCCATCCATTGTTCTGTAGGTATTGTTCACTTTCTCCAGAAATGGTGAAGGTACCACTGGAGCACTCTGGTGATCAACCTGTCATTCCTTGTGTTTTATGATGACCATCTTTTATTTCTGTTCTTCTTTGGAGTTCTTCATTGGTTACATGTTATAGCTTCCTCCCATCCACCGCACAACTTTACATTTCCCTCTAAACTATAATAATTCTTAACTCTTTGTAACCAGTTTTTTTTTTAACATCACAATCATTTCCAAACATATAGTACCCTACTTCACTACCCAGGGAAACTTCGCTTGTAACAAGAAAAAAACCATCAAAAATAGTCAAAGCAAAACTAACAGACATAGCAACTGTATCTGGTAGCATAGGTAACATTTTTCACCAAGGAAAAGAGGAAAGTATGTTTTCTTAACTCTTTCTCTGCCTGGATCAGGCTTAGTCATTAAATTTCATTTTATTTTTTTGTTCCATTTAAATTGTACCCTTTGTATATATTATTTTTCTGTTTCTGCTTATTTTACTTTATTTCAATTCATATAAACCTTCTCATGTTTTTCTGAATTTTTCATATGCATTGTTTCTTTTTTTTGTTTGTTTTTTTGGTTAGGCAATGGGGTTAAGTGACTTGCCCGGGGTCACACAACTAGTGAGAGTTATGTGTCTGAGGTCGGATTTGAACTCAGGTCCTCCTGAATCCAGGGCCGGTGCTCTATCCACTGCGCCACCTAGCTGCCCCTCATATTCATTCTTTCTGACAGTGCACTAATATTTTGTTAAGTTCATGTACTATAATTTGGTTAGCCATTCCCTAGTTGATAGAAATCTTGAATTTTATTACCTTGGGCAAGTCACTTAACTTCCCTAAGCCTCAGTTTCTTAAACTGTGGATGAGGGAGTTGTCCTCGATGGTCTTTTAGATACCCTTTTAGCTCTAAATCTATGAACCTGTAATTCTTTATTTCCAGTTCTTTCCTAACACCAAAAAATACTGCCATGAATATTTTGTTATGTGTAGGACCTTTCTGTCCATCTTTGATCTCTTTGGAGTATAAACTCTAGGTCAAAAGGTATGACTATTCTCTCATAATCCTGAATTTTTTTCCAGGAGGGTTGAAACTGCTCCACTGCTCTATAAGGAAGGCACCTGTCTTTCTGCAGTGCCAACATATTCAATCTTTTTCATCTTTGTCAGTTTGTTGGCAAAGGTTATGAAGTTGACAAAACCTTAGTTTTGTTTTAATTTAATTTTCTTACTGGCATTAGTGATTTGGAGCAATCATCCATGTGGTTGCTGATAGTTTGCAGTTATTCTTTTGGAAACGGTTTCTTTCCTTTGACAGCTCATCTATTGGTAAATTTTTCTTTTTTTCATTTTCAGCAAGCAGCTGCTAAAATTCCAATGGTACAGGAGAAGTGGGATGATACTTATTAGGCCTGGACATTAGGAGAAGATATTGGCCTCAGAAAATTTTAGCCTTGGAGAGATGGGCAAAATTTGACAATTATGTCTGCCAACTTTTTATGAAAAGTTTTACTCACAAAATAATAGGATTTTTGAGTTAGAAAGAATATCAGTGGCTGTCTAGTTCAATCTGTACCTAAAAAAAAATCCACATTATAGTATACCCCACAAGTTGTTGTCCAGCCACTACTTGGGCTCATTATGTCTGAAGACAGCTCACTTCATTTTCTGATCGCTTTCATCCTAGGGAAGCTTTTGTGACACAAAGCCCTGGATTCTGTTCTTTAGGGTCAAACAATTTAATCCTTCTCACAGTCTTTCAGATGAAGACAGCTTATGTACTCCAGAGCCATCTCTTCTCCAAGTTGAACCTCTAGTTCGGGGTGGGAACCTGCGGCCTCGAGGCCACATGTGGTCTGCTAGGTCCTCAAGTTCTGCCCTTTGCTGAATCCGAATTTAATAGAACAGATCCCTTTAATAAAAGGATTTGTTCTATAAAACTTGGACTCAGTCAAAAGGCTGCACCCAAGGACCTAGAGGGCCACATGTGGCCTTGAGGCTGCATGTTCCCCACCCCAGCTCTAGTTTCTTTAATCAGTTACTTGTCAGCAAGCATTTATCTAGGGCCTACTTGTACCAGGCACTGTGCTACATACTGGAAATACAGAGCCAAATAAATGAAACAATCCTTATTTCTTCTTTTTTAAAAAATATTTATTTAGTTAGTTTTAGTTTTCAACATTCACTTTTATAAGATTTTGAGTTTTAAACTTTTCTTCCCCTCTCCCCTCCCCAAGATGGTGTGCAATCTGATATAGGCTATACATGTACCATATTAAACAGATTTCCACATTAGTCATGTTGTAAAGAAGAATTAGAATGAAAGGGGAAAAAAAGAGAAAATAGTATGCTTCGATCTGCATTCAAACTCCATAGTTCTTTCTCTGGATGTGGATAACATTTTTTTTTATCATGAGACTTTTGAACATGTCTTACATCCTTGCATTGCTGAGAAGACCTAAGTCTATCAAAGTTGGTCATCACACAGTGTTGCTTTACTGTGTGCAATGTTCTCCTGGCTCTGCTCACTTCACTCAGCATCAGTCCATACAAGTCTTTCCAGGTTTTTCTGAAGTCTGCCTGCTCATCATTTCTTATAGCACAGTAGTATTCCATCACATTCATATACCACAACTTGTTCGGCCATTCCCCAATTGATGGGCATCCTCTCAATTTCTAATTCTTTGCCACCACAAAAAAGAGCTGCTATGAATATTTTTGTACATGTGGGTCCTTTTCCCGTTTGTATGATCTCTTTGGGATACAGACCTAGAAGTGTTATTGTTGGGTCAAAGGGTACACATATTTTTATAGCCCTTTGGGCATAGTTCAAAATTGTTAGTCAAAATGAACAATTCCTACTTCTAAGGAACTTAACATTCTATGCAGGGAGACACTCTGTGTGTGTGTGTGTGCCTGCACGCTCTCGTGTATATGTGTATGTGTATGTGTGTATGTATATGTGTATACATACACACACACACACACACACAAAAGGTATACAAAATAAGTTGGAGAGATCAAGAATAGCTTCAAGTAGGTTTTTTGCAGGTTGGTTTGTTCAACAAGTATTTACTCAGAACAAAGATGTTTTTTTCTACCACAATTTGGTTTCACATATTTGTGCAAATGGGACTCTGAAAACAGGATTATGCTGTGGCTTGATCTTCTTGCATGTGCTTTTCTTCTAGTATTAATTTAGAAATTTTTACACATTGTGGAGTTCAAAATTTTTTTTTGTCTTTATGAACTTTATAAACATGAACATTTTCTTAGAGAAAGAATAGGAGAAATGCTACGTTACCCTCATCCTTAAAAATCCTTCTTTGGACCTTCCTACTTCTTCAACCTGTTGTCCTATATTTCTCCTCCCTTTCTCATCCAAACTTAAAAAAAATTTTTTTTTATTAATTTATTTTGATTTATCAACAATTACTTCCATAAGCTTTTGAGTTTTAAATTTTTTCCTCCTCCCTCCTGCCCTCCCTTCCCAAGACGTCCCGAAATCTGATATATCATTCAAACTTCTTGAAAAAGCTGTTTACATTTGCTGCCTTTATTTCTTGTCCTCTTGATTTCTTCTCATCCCTTTGTAGTCTGGCTTCTGACCTCATTACTCAACTAAAACTGATTTCTCCATAAATGTCAGTAATGTCAAATCTGATGATATTTTCTAACTCTTCTTACTTCTTAACCTATCTGTTTCATGTGGTACTGTTGATCACCCTCTCCTCCTGGATACTTTCTCTTTTCTGGGGTTTCGTGACCCTGCTCTCTCTTGGTTTTCTTACATGTCTAAGTGCTTCTCAGTGTCCTTTTTTGGCTCTTCGTTCTTATCATTCTTCCTAACTGCTCACAATTGCCGAGGTTTTGTTCTTGGTATTTTTTTCTTTTGGCAAATTCATCAGCTCCTGTGGGTTTAACTATCACTTTTGTGGAGATGACATTTTCGTGTGTCCAGGAGATCTTAACACGTGCAAAACTAGCATTCGTTATCTTTCCCCTCAAATCCTCCCCTCTTCCAAACTCCCTCATTTCTGTGAAAGGTAACAACATCCTTTCATTCTCTCACATTTCCAACGTTCCTCAGCATTATCTTGGCGTATTCACTCTCTCTTGTTGCACATATCTAATTAGTTGCCTAATCTTAGCATTTCTTTCTCTATGACATCTTCATATCTGACCACTTCTCTCCATTCATACAGCTACTGTTGTGGTTGGGGGTGCAATTCATAAATGCTTGTTGAATGATTGAAAGAGAAAGAATCTGATTGACATCAATAACATATAATTGAAATGGTCTGCTCCTATGCCTCAGGCTCTTTCTTTCTTCACCAAACCTAGATCCTGATCTCTGGTTCTTAAAATTCCAGTGGTTCTTAAAGTTCCTTTTACTCTTTTCAATTCCCTTTATGACCCATCTTCTGAATATGAGGTTTGTTTTGCTAGTAACTAACTCTTCCTTCACAAAATCTGCCCTCCCTCTTAATCCCTCTCCCAACTCTCCTTCCTTCCTGGTTTTTTTGTTTGTTTGTTTTGTTTTTAGTTTAATGTGTGTCTACAACAAACTGTGTGAATATGTATGTTTTCAACATTCCGTTTTCTGGTTCAGAAAATAGTCACTATAATGTGATGACTACTCCACTCTCCCCTTTTTCCATATTTTTATATGCTTCTTTTTGTACGCCCTAGTTATGAGAAATGTTTCTTCTCTTTCTTCTTTAGTGTATTCCTCTTTTCATTCTTTTCTCATCTTAAAACCAACAAAATAGAATAAAAACATACTTAAACTCAGGCTTTGTGTGTTACATAATTTCCTTTGTAATCTGGAAAATTGTGATTCTAAAGGGATATTGTCTCTCCTCTTCCATTAGAATGTTAAGCACAGGGGCAGCTAGGTTGCTCAGTGGATAGAGCACTGGCCCTGAGGTCAGGAGGGCCTGAGTTCAAATCCAGCCTCCGATACTTGACACTTACTAGCTGTGTGACCCTAGGCAGGTCACTTAACCCCATTGCCTAGCAAAAAAAAAAAAAAGCACATCTTCATTGCTACCCCTTCCAGTTGCTCAAAGTAATTGCTGTTCTAGGGTCACACAGCTAATAAGCTTTTACTCAGATCTGGTCTTTTGATTGGAATACTTGAAAATCCTCTGTTTATTAAAGGTCCATTTTTTTATCCTGTTGGAGTATTACTTAGTATTTTTAGAGCAAATTATTTTTGGTTATAAACCTTTATCTTGTACCATTTGGAGTGTCGTGCCCAGTGATTTCCTTTTGTTTATATTAGTTTTAGTAGAGCTTTATATGCTTCTTACTGGAATTCTTTGGTGCTTGTATTCTTCCTTTCTGTCTGATTGCCATATTTTTTTCACTTGGAAGCTCTGTGATATTGGTTAAAAAATCCTGGAAATTTTCAGTCTGGGATTTCTTTCAAGTAGTGAGGTAAGTGGACTGCGCAGTTTTTATGATTTCTTTGGTGTCCAGGTTTTTTGTTTGCTTATCATTTTCAGAGAGTTCAATGATTCTTAAATTATTTCCCTTTGACTTGTTTTCCAGGTCTGTTTTTGATAAATAGATAACTAATATTTTCTTCTTTTTCAATCTTTTGACTTTCTTCTAATATTTTTTGTTATCTCATGTCATTGAGTTTTGATTACTCTATTCTGTTTGCAGGGAGTCTGTTGCTTGGGTCAAATTTTCCAACTTGTGTTCTAAACTATTTATTTTCCTTCCAGTTTTTTCCTTCAGAGCTTTTATTTCAGTTCTAGTTTCTTTTTTTTAAATTCTTGCTTCACTATTAACCATTCTGGTCATTTTTGTGGGCAGTCCATTTTTTTTCTCTGAGGTTCTGCTTCTGTTTGTTGTGGAGATGCAGTTTTCTTTTTTTCTTTTCACATTAGTCATGTTGTAAAGAAGAATTAGAACCAATGGGAGGAACCACAAGAAAGAAGAAACAAACAAAAAAAAGAGAACCAATAATATGCTTTGAGGAGATGCACTTTTCTTCTTTATTTACCTCTTGAACTTTTTTTGGGGGGGGGGGTGAGGCAATTGGGGTTAAGTGATTTGCCCAGAGTCACACAGTTAGTGAGTGTTATGTGTCTGAGGCTGGATTTGAACTCAGGTCCTCCTGATTCCAGGGCTGGTACTCTATCCACTCCGCCACCTCGCTGCCCTGAACTTTTCTTAATTTGTAGTATTTCTTCATCGAGTTTGCTATTTTCTTCTTTGTATTCATATTCTCCTTGGGATGGCTCCTTTCTCAGTGTTCAGGCCCATTTATTGATGCTTTTTCTAGGTTCCCTGATGTGTTCTCTTTCCCAGCATCAGTGGTTTCTGGTCAGATTTTTGTGAAATTCTGAACTATATAAAGAAACTTACTTGTGTTTATATTTTTGTTAAATTGTTGTTTCATTTGTGTGACCTTGGCAAGTCACTTAACCTCTCATTACTCTAGGCTACTCACACTTAAGTTAGAGGGATTTCAATCTACATTGGTAGACAGAATTTCTTCAACCAGGAGTTCCATATTTCAGTAAAATCCTAGGTCCATTCCCTGCCCTATTTTAGGCTATATAAAACATCTGTTCACGTCTGTCAGCTTTACTGAGGTAGTGTTCTAATACATTAGGTTCCAACTTAGAATTCATCCAGGAGGTACTTTCTTTTTTAATTAAAATTGGCTCTTAGTATTTTCTAACCTTTCCCGAGATTTAAACAACATCTTAATTTACAGAATCTTCTGATCCTTTTGGTCTCTGATTCTTTTTGACTTCCTGGGTTCAGAGATGGACTGTGCTGGTTCTTCTTTTCTGTTGCTGCCTTGATATATTTATTTGGTGCAATAATAATGCACTTCCTCTCTTTACCATTTATTCCTTTTGTCATAAATCCCATGCACTACAAGAGGGTACTTCATGTTGCTGGGTTTTTTTTTTTTAAACCAGGGATAAGAGTTACAGAATTATTAAAATAAGCTTGATGGTAATTGAAAGTACATTTAAAAGAGAATAGAGCCAGTATAGATTGAATGGTACCTAAGTCCACTCTTCTAATTGTTAGCTAAAATTCATTAAACTTGGCCTGTGGTTCTCTTGGCCAGGAATTCCATTGTGCTGTTCTTTTATGACTTCCAAATATAAGTGAAGACCCTTGAATTCCATATTGTGGTTCTGGACCAAAAATCTGGACTCAAAATGACTGTTTACTTATAATCTCAAGGTCATTCTTAGTCAATCAGGATGTCTCCTAATGTTTGTTTTTTTGTTTTTTATATTCTTCCCAAATTCCTACTTTGTCACTTGGCTAATGTGATAACTTCTATGCATAAAGTAGTAGACGGTACAAAGAGCAGCTAAATATGCAACTGAAGTTTTTGCCATATTTCAGAAAATATGATAGTTAAACTTGAAACCTGATTCTCTCTACTTTTGACCACCTCCAAAAGAAAAAGTTAATAAAGAATTCATTGTAGTCTAAATTCTTGAGTAATTTTGCTTTGAGATTTTATAAGTGACCTAAAAAAAACAAAATCTAATCTGTAATCTTTGTATGTTTCATTCTTAATCTAGAATTGTGAATCAAGACCTGGATGTCATCAACTGTCTTTGTCTGAGTGGAGAATTTGGCAAAATCGTCCTTTTCCTACGTATCAAGTTGACCATTCTGATCGCTGCTACCGCTTCATAAGCATTATGAAAATGATAGATAAGATAAGAAATGAAGAGGTATGGGTTTAAATATAATTTTTTTTCTTCTTCCTCTTCCTTATACCTTAGAGCATGTTAAAATGGATATAATTAATCTTCATATTAATCTTCATTAAGCTGTGGTAAATAGATAATTTTATGGATTATAGAATTAGATTTTTTTTCTTTCTACCCTGTGGCCTCTATAGTAAATAAAGCATAGAGAAAGGTAGGTATGGGTAGAAGGGGAAATAAAGAGAGTGATTTGAAAATGTGGGTAGATATATACATACAGCACATCAGCATATACAGCACAACACCATATTTGCTAGTAACACTGATTTTAGTGGATTAAGTTATTAAATTCGCAAGGCTAATTGAACTCTGAAGCAGTTTAGAATTCACTTAAATATACTAACATACATTTTGTAATATCAGTCTTCAGAATTTTTGCCTTCTTGTTCAGTGTCTTGATTGTATTGTAGTTTTTGTGTATTCTATGTATTGTCTTTCATATTCCTTGCTATTTTCTCTAAGGACATCTTTTACTTTTCAAATTAATATATTTTAAGCAAATATAGCATATAATTTTGATGTCCTCATTCTTCTTTTATAGAACCTTAACTTTCTTTAGAATAAATAAATCCCCCTTATACATTTAAAATAATTTATTTACAAAAAATTTATTTACATTTATCTTTTCTAGAACATGTTCACTGTGTAAAGCAAATGTTACCTTCTGCTACTTAGTATCTTGATTTACATTTTTATGCATTAAATTTTTAAAATTGAATTTTATTTTATTTTTAAAATTAGCAAGAATTTATTTTTTTTCTCTCCATATTCTCTGCATATTGGAGAAAAAGATAAAAATAAAACTGTTATAACAACTATCCATAGTCAAACAAATGTCCACATTGGCCATGTTAAAATAACAACGTACAACTATTACTGCTTAATTAGTCCATCACCTCTCTATCGAGAGTTGAATATCATTCTTTATCATCAGTTTTCTGGAGTCATGATTGGTTATTGGGTAGACTATTTTTTTTAAGGCAATTGGGGTTAGGTAACTTGCCCAGGGTCACATAGCTAGTAAGTGTCAACTGTTTGGTCTGAGGCTGGATTTGAACTCAGGTCTTCCTGACTTCAGGGCTGGTGTTCTATCCACTGCACCACCTAGCTGTCTCTTGGGTAGACTTTTTAATTAAGGCTTTTAAAGTTTTTTGTGTTTTTTTTGTTTTTTTTTTTAGGGCTACTGTTTTAAGTTTTAATTTAAAGTTAAGGTTTAAAACTGCACTAAGACTTTTGGGAAATTCTTTAAAAATGTCTTGATTTTTTTTTTAAAAAATTATTCATTTATTTTTAGTTTTCAACAATCACTTCCATAAGCTTTTGAGTTTTAAATTTTCTCCCCCTCCCTCCCTGCCTCCTTCCCCAAGATGGCATGCAATCTGATATAGGCTCTACATATACTTTCCTGTTAAACATATTTTCACATTAGTAATGGTGTAAAGAAGAATTAGAACCAGTGGGAGGAACCACAGGAAAGAAGAAACAAAACAAAACAGAAGAAGAAAAAAGAGCAAATAGTATGCTTCGATCTGCATTAGAACTCCAGAGTTCTTTCTCTGGATGTGGATACATCCATCGTGAGGCTTTTGGAGATGTCTTAGATCCTTGTATTGCTGAGAAGAGCTAAGTCTGTCAAAGTCAGTCATCTCACAATATGACTGCTACTGTGTACACTGTTCTGGTTCTGCTCACTTCACTTAACATCAGTCCATACAAGTCTTTCCAGGTTTTTCTGAAGTCAGCCTGCTAATCATTTCTTAACAATAGTATTCCATTACGTTTATATACCACAACTTGTTCAGCCATTCCCCAATTGATGGGCATCCCCTCAATTTCCAATTCTTTGCCACCACAGAAAGAGCTGCTATAAATATTTTTGTACATGTGGGTCCCAAAGTTTTTTTTTTTTTTTAACATTTTTATAATGTAAAAATTAAATCTTTCCAGATTTCTTATACCTCCTTAGTATTCCTTTAAATTCACAAACTGTAATTTATGTAGCCATTCTTCAACAGATTGGCACCCCCTTAGTTTCCAGTCCTTTGCCGCCACAAAAAAAAACTGCTATAAATAGTTTTGTATATATAGGTCCTTATCTTCTTTTTTTAAATTTCTTTGGCTATAGGCATAGTAGTGATAGTGGTCAAAGGGCATACATTGTTCAGTAGCTTTTTGGACATATTTCCAACTTATGATCCTAAGGTAATATCCCTTTGTTCATTTTTTATTTTATTAATTTTATTAATTGTTTTTAATCTGTCTAGCTAGAGGCTTTTATTTTAGTCTTTTGAAATCTTTTAAAATGTAAACTTAAATCTTCTTATCTTTATTTTTTTCTGCCCTAGAATGTATCTTACAGGACATCTCTTCCAACCCCTTCCTTTTACACATAGGGAAACTGACTTACACAGTCACTGCCCTAGTTCAGGCCCTTATCACCACTCTCCTAAACTATTGGAGTAACCTCCTAATTGGTCTGTTTCACTCTCTCCCCAGTTAATCCGCCCTCTACACAGGCACTAACGTGGTTTTCCTGAGCACAGGTCTGGCCATGTTATATCCTTTCCTCAGCTCCCACCCTCACCCCCACTCAGTTAACTCTAGGGACTCCTCATTACCTCTAGGATCAAATATAAAATCGTTGTTGGCATTAAAGCTTTTCAGAAGCTGTTTCTTTCCTACCTTTCCAACCTTACACTTTACTACCTTCCATGCACTGTATAGTCCAGCTCTACTAGTTTTTTGCCATTCCTTACTAACAGTGCTCCATCTCGTCTTCTTGCTTTTGCATTAGCTGTCCACCATCCCTGATATGTTTTCCTTTTTCATTTTTATCTCTTGAAATCTCCAGTTTTCTTCAAGATTCATCCCAAGACTCACATTCTGCATGAAGACTTTCCTAGTCCCTCTGGCTACTGGTGCCTTCTCCTTTGAGCTTACTTTGTATGTGTTTTGTATATACCTATATACCTATAAGGTTATCTTGTGTGACTTTTGTATATATCTATATACATACATATTTTCTACCCCTTTAAGAGTATAAGCTCCTTGAAAGCAACAACTCTTCTGCTTTTGTCTTTGTCTTCTCTGTGCCAAACAGTGCCTAGAACATAGTAGGTGCTTAATAAATACTTACTTGATTCTTTACTTCCATAAAGGAAAAGAGTTCTGAATCCTCTGTAGGGTGTAGAGGTGTTCTTCCTCCTTTCACCTCCTTAAGGAAAGACAGCACCCTGCATTGGTGCAAATTTAGCTATTACTTGGCAATGGCAGGAAAAAAAACCTCACCAATAAAACATCTGACAGTCTCTTCAGGGTACTCGCTGCACAATTCCTTTTGCCCTCCATATTTCCTGGAATCTGTTTTTCTTGGTGGTATTTCTCATAACTGCCATCTTGGCCTCCTGTTTGTCATTCCTCTTCTTTCAATTCTTGAGGAAGATTGTATTTATTTATTGTGGTCATCTCACGTTTTTCATTTTGGCAGACCCAGGTTGTGCAGTTGCCTTTGATTGAAAATTAAGCAAGTTCTGACCAAGGCACCCCTGGAGACTGAAGCTCCCCACAGCTTTTGTTTCTGAGTTCTGAAACAAAATCAAGTTACCCTCTCTCTCTCCCAATAATCTGATTTTCATAGTCTTTTCTGTCTTAGTTTATGCTGCTGCTTCTGTTGCCTATGTGTGTATGTATGAATAGATAGATAGAAAGACACATATCTGTCTGTCTTTATCTGTTATGTTTTTATCAGTGAATTGTAAAGTTTTAACGTAATTTGAGGGAGAGAGTCTTTGTGACTCTTTCAGATCCTGTTCTGTGATTTTGTATTGATTGAATAAATATTTTGATTTTAATTCATTAACCCAAGCAGATTCTTCCTAATAAAGATTTTGGTCAATAGCAGTTGTACTATAGTCTCGACAAGTAGATACTCTTTAGGAATGAATAAATTTGTATTACAGAAGTAAAGTTTCATTTTTTAATACCAATATTCTGCTAGTGTTGCTATTTATCAATGAGACATGGAATATACAGCATTTTTCAAAGAATGTTTTAAAAAAATGTCAAAAGTCAGTGGAGAAGTACATGGTAAGTGTGAAGCAGGCTGTGGTGTAGAGAACAAAAATGTAAAATGTTATTAAGGAAATTTATGCTCGGAAGAGAAGATAGAGTGGTCGTAGGCCAAAGGTTGGTAGACCACCAGAGTATTCCACTGGTACTCTCAGGAAGCCACAAGGAAGGCCTGCAGTATACTGGATCCTTTTGCCACAAGCAGAAGGAACACTCTAACTTGGATCAAAGTAAACACTAACAAAGGCCAGATTTATAGTTGAAGAAATGTTACTTCATATAGCAGTTTTCTCTGCTTACAATTTAGAGTGAATGTAGTAGTTATTACATTTGCTAGCTTTAATGACGAGGTATTGGGACTGGATTGCAATTGTAATATTTTAATAAAACATTGAAAACATCCTTTGTTGTCCACTGGGCTCCTATAAAGTTACTTAAATAGTTAATAGCTTCCTTCAGTGCTACTAGCACTTCTTTGTAATAATAATATATACAATATGACATTCAAAATTCAGAGTAAACCTTACTTAAATGGATAAACTGGAAATGTGAGATTTTTCACAGAAATGATAGATAGGTCTTATGTAAAACCAGAAAAGCACTGGTTACGATGAGAAAAGTTGAATGTCTTTAAGGTTATAAGACCTGCAGTTTTTCTTCCATTCTTGGGTAGCAAAGTGGTTATCAGAATAAGCTCTCTGCGTTTTTGTTGTGTTAAACCCTGGAGGGAAAAGAGACTTTAAAGTGGGATCTATAGATTTGAGGTTAAAGGTCCTGACATTTAACAGCAGTGTTAGTGGTCTGTGGTAACTGGTGGAGTCTTTTTCCCTACAAGTTTCTGAGTGGTCTTTTTCTTTCATGGCCTAGAGTAAACTTTGTTTTTTTAATACACATCA